TGATGTTCAAAAGGACTGACCAGTATGATCTGCAATTGCAGATCCCAGGAAGAAAGGAGCGGCAGACCTTCAGATTGATTCAAACAACCTCCGGTGACCGGCACTTTCCTCGCACCTCCCTTCCTTCTTATCCTCAGCTCAGGACCAATCACCATCACCATAGCGCGAGCAACTCTCCGCTGGTGCAAGAGAACTTTGCGTACAGGAAGAGGAAAGTGAGGAGGGCAGAGATCGAGGAGGTGCTGAAAAATGGAGCAGGGAGTTGGAAGAGACAAAGAAGCAGCTCGAGGAGTCTCGAGCGAGGGTGAGTGGTGATTGAACATGACATGATGATGATGATGATGATGATGATGATGATGATGATGATGATGATGATGATGATGATGATGATGATGGAGATGATGATGATGATGGAGATGATGATGGTGGAGGAGGAGGAGGAGGAGGAGGAGGAGGAGCGGACAAAGGGAACTCGACAGGAAGGATTTGGGTGCCTGGACTCATGGTGGTGGGGTACAAATGAGGGGGTTGGATATGTGAATGTGTTTGGCAAGACCCTATCTGGGACACTATCACAATTTTCTTATAGATAAGTATATAAAAACTGAGACCTCTATGGGCTAAGAAGCTTCAACCTGCAATTGTAGCAGCATGAAGGGGTATATGACAGCATTGTTGATTTTGAAAGGGGTAGGGGTTGTTGGGTTACAGAATGTGAGTGACGTCGGGGATGGAGAAGAGAGAAAATGGAGAGGAGAGACAAGGGGAGGAGACGGGAGACAAGGGGAGGAGACAAGAGGAGGAGACGAGAAACAAGGGGAGGAGACGGGAGACGAGGGGAAGAGAGGAGAGACGAGGGGAGGAGATGAGACGAGGAGACGAGAAACAAGAGGAGACGGGAGACAAGGGGAGAGGAGACGGGAGACAAGGGGAGAGGAGAGACAAGGGAAAGAGGAGACGAGAAACAAGAGGAGACGAGAAACAAGGGGAGGAGAGGAGAGAGGAGAGGATACGAGAGACAAGGGGAGGAGAGGAGAGACAAGGGAAGGAGAGGAGAGACAAGCGAAGGAGGAGAGAGGAGAGAGAAGAGGAGGAGAGGAGAGGAGAGGAGAGGAAAGAGGAGCTGTTAATACGATAGACGAGGATATTGACATGAATTGCTCGCCCAGTTTGTTGCCATGGATAGTCTGACTCTTCTTCTTCCTCTTGTTCCAGCATCGCTCCTCACGGCCTCCCTCCCGCCTCCCTGATCGCGGCCGCTCGACCTGCCGGCAGTCGTCATGGTGCGAGCTGATCCAGATCCTGTCGAGCGAGTGCGATGGACGAGCACGCGACGGCATGTGGCCGGGGGAGTGGAGGACGACGATGATGACAGGGAGTCAATGCTGAGAGGAGGCGTGCGGCTGGTGCCCGCGGAGGATTACGCTCCCCTTGCGCTCGACGATCCATGGTGGGTGAAGCTGCTGGGATTCAAGAGCCCAAGGAAAGCTGTCATGTTCGCCGCCTTCGTCATCGGCATGGGACTCTACTTCATCATCGCTGGAACCGTAAGGACACGCTCCTTCCTTCCTACATCCCTGAACTTGACCTCCTCTTCCTCCCTCCTCCCACCTCCTCCTCCATCTCATCCTCTTCTTGTTCCCCTATTCTTCTTCTTTCTCCTTGTCCTCCTCGTCCTTGCTCGCATTGACTTCTCACATCTCGTCTTGCCTTCAGGTACAGGAACGATTGACTCGCGCCGTTCAGGTTGCTCAAAGTCTGGACATGATGGACACGTCTACTAACAGGTAGGAGGGAGAGGCGCGGGAGCAACAGCAGAAGAAGAGAAGGAGGAATAGAAACAAGAAGTGAAACTGAGAGACGAGGAGGGAAGGAGGGGGGGTAAGGGAAGAAGCCCGGGGTAAGGATGGGGGGGCAGGGGGGGGAGGCTGGAGTGAACTCACGTGATGGTGTTGGTGGCAGTCTAGAGAACTGGCTCGACATGCTTAGAGTCTCTCACTTCCGCAAGCCCCAGGGCGCGGGCGTGCAGTACGTCGACAAGCAGCTCGCACTCAAGTGCGCGGCAGAAGGATGGTCGGAGGCATGCACCCGCAAAGTGTTCGCCGAGCAGCAGATGCGGAGGAGAATGGCAGGAGGAGAAATGAGAGGGGGAGAGGGAGGGGGAGGAAGAGGAATGAGAGGGGGGGGGGAGGGGGAGGAGGAGGCGGGGGCGGACTAGGACCACAGGTGTCGGAGACGATAACATATGTAGGAGGTAGAGGAAGGAGTGCAGGCCGCGGCGTTTTCTCAGACGAAGTTCGTCTTCCTGTTGGCATAGCGCTGCAGTTTCATCAAGCTGTTGCTCAGATGGAGGTAATGCCACCATCCTCCTCATCTTCCTTCTTCTCCCACTAGTCGTTCTCAACCTTCTCTTAATCCTGCTCATCTTCAAATTTATGCTCGTACTCCTCTTTACGTTCATACTCAATTCTCCTCCTCTTTACCTTCTTACTCATTCTCCTCCTCTTTACCTTCTTACTCATTCTCCTCCTCTTTACCTTCTTACTCATTCTCCTCCTCTTTGTCCTGCTTCTCCTCCTCCCTCTTCCCCTCCTTCTCTCGAACTTTATCATTTCCCGCATCGTGCACTTTGCTTCATCCCCTCCCATTTCTTGCTGCCTCCTCCCTCCGAATGACCCACCGCCTTCCTCTCCTTCTCTTCTCCTGACCCGCCTCGCACCCGGCAGGCGAAGGAGTGCGCATCAGGGGACATTTTTCATTATGTGTGTTACACAACATCTCGAAGACACCAGAAGAAGTTCAAAGACATGAAGAAATCGCTCAACTCCCTCATCCTCGATGTGTCCCGCGACCCTGGCGGCTCAAGCTTGCCAGGAAGTCGCAAGCAGATGCTCCTATCTTTGCTCGCTCAGGTCTGACCTGTCGTGTCTCCTCCTCTCTTCCTTGTTCCTCCTTCCAACCTCCTTCTCTCCCCTCACTTTTCCTTCCCCCTTCTCATCCTGCCATCTCTCTCTCTCTCCACACACAACGTTGTCTCTAAACGTTGCTCAGGCACTCAAGTATGGCGTCACCACTGAAATTGCTCGAAATGACCTCGACGTCAACACGGTCAGACCTGCTTTCCCTCCTTCTCCTTCTCCTTCCCCTGCCCCTTCTCCTCCCCTTCCCCCTCCTCTCGCCCGTCCGCCTTCTCCTCGCTTCCGCTTTCTCCTTCTCCTCCTCCTCCTCCTCATTATCATAGACTACACCAGCTTTTTTTCAGCTCCATCATCATCATCATCATCATCATCATCATCATCATCATCATCCCTCCTTCGTTCCTTCTTCCCCTACTTACAACCGGCAGGCATCGATTCTTCAGGACACGCTGATTGGCATTCGAGAGAAGGAGAAGCAGCACAGCGAGTACAACGATATCATGCTCTTCCCTGGCACCTCGCGCCTCCTCTACCGGGGCTCCTTCCTGGGCCTCAGGTGAACTTGGAGAGCGGCAGGTCGCTGGATGACGAGAGGGCAGGTTTGAAGGACAGGGCGAGATGTACTACCGCAAGGGAGATCAGGTGGCGTACAAGGGAAGTTGGAGACGAGGTGGGCGGGGAGAGAGAAGAGGAGAGGGGGGGAAGGAGAGGAGAGGAGAGGGGGGAGGGATGAGAAGCGAGGAGAAGGTCGTGACTGAAGAGGAGAGGAGAGGGGAGTACGTGACCGAGGAGTGAAGGGCGGGAGTGAAAGCTGTGAGAAGGAATTGCAGACAGCTTAAGAGGATAGAGCGGCAAGGAGGGGACTCTGGTCGTGACAGTGAGCAGGGAGGATGCACGGTTACGGGACCCTCTACGGCAGCGAAGGAGGGGAGCTTTGGAGCGGATACTTCGAGGAGGGGAGGCCGATGAGACCATGGTGGGTGGTCTGAGAGCAGCAAACAGCAAACTTTACTTGTCTTATTGTTACATATCAAATCAAACGTCTACACGCGGATCCACGTACTTGGTCGCTTCGTAGAGATAGTCCTGCTCGCCGCGGATCGGGCAGCCGATGTTGGTCAGCATGTCGTACGAACCGGCGTTGTAGCCCTTGAGCGTGAAGGGGCCGAGGTAGCCGATGAATCCTGGCAGGGAGCCTCCACCAACGCTGATGGAGAGGTAGGAGCGACCGTCACCGACGAGGTTGTTGAGCCAGCTGACGCCCTCGATCATCTGGCCCTTGGGCGCGCGGAAGATTGAGGTAGAGATGACATCCTTGCTGCTGCTGCTGCTGAGGTCACTGAGCCAGACGTAGTTGTACGCATGACCGTCGCCATCGGCGATGAAGAGGGTGTTGTGGTAGGAGGCGAAGTGAATGTAGCTGGGTCGAGCAGGCAAGCTGGGCTCACACCGTGTGTTGTCTGAGACCAAGGGAAGTCCATTGACCACGTCCACCTTGTAGGTGGTGAGACCGTAGGATGTGATGGGAGACTTCTTCGCCTTCGCTGCTTCATCGTCGGTGCATGCCTTGCTCACCTTGATATGGCAAGCATCGACCGCTCCGACAGAGAACATGTACACCGAGCCGCACGGACGCACCACCGAAGCCCCACCAAGCGATTTCTGCATGTCCGTAGAGACCTCTGAGAAAGACACGAAGAACTTCTTCAGCCCGAGCTCCTTGCCCGTCGCCCCCTTGTCGTCCATGTTGTAGGCAAGTCCAGTCACAGACAGCGTGGTGGTGGCTCCGTTGACCATGGCGCAGTCCCTGGGGAAGAGGAAGCAGGCGAACTTCTCCTTCCCGCTCTTCATCTTGTAGCACTTGTCGGTGAAGGAGGAGACCTTGGAGTAGCCAGTGGGGCAGGTCTTGGAGGTGGCGGTGGGATCCACAAAGTCAGCGCCCTCCCAGTAGTCATTGAAGTAGATGTTCTTTGACGAACTGATCTCCTTCGCCATATCGCTCTCGTTCATCGCATTGAGCTTGATCCAGGTGACCTTCTCCTTCGACAGCTGGGCTGCATACAGGGTGCCGTTCCTCAAGTCCTTGGCAATCTTGGACACAAACATGTAGAGCACGTGCCCGTCGCTGAGGTAGACAGTCTTCTTGTCAGGCATGGCAAAGGTGGAGGTAGCCTGGATGCGTCCGAGGGCGTAGCGCTTGAGGACAGAGGCGCTGAAGTCGATCTCGACGCGGCTCTCAGTCACCCACCCGTAGCTGAACTCATTGAAGCCCTTGGTTCCCAGGAAGGTTTGCATCTGCAGCGCCTTGGGAACCTGCTCGCCTCCGATGGCGGTGCACCAGGGAGTCAAGCTTCCTCCGGACGGCTGGAACAATCCAGCACCGTTGTAGAAGGGATTCGTCTGCATCCAGTAGATGGAGTCGGTGACGACTTTCGCACTCCAGGCAGAAACAGCCTTCTTCTTGCTATCGTAGGCGGGAAACTTAAGCTCAACCATCTGAATGTCGCCCGCACTTTCGGGATCATTGACATACACGATAGCAAAGACTCGCATGCCAGTGCTGGAGATGAAGGGGATGGTCGCAGTATAGCCAACGTTGTTGCTGAAGTAAGTATCCGATCCGCTGGCATTCACGACGCAGGTTCTGTCCTTGTTTGAGCACGTTCCCATAATCTTGTCTCGAAGCACATCGTTGACTTGGCCAAACAAGATCTTGGAATTGGTGGAAGTCGCCGTCTTGTTGCAATAGTAGAATGCGCCTGCAGTGTCCTTGTACGACGTCAGTCCGCATCCAGTCTTGATCGGCACATTGAAAACGATCGGCTCCAGACCGTTGTCATCGTCGTCGTTGGAGAAGGAACCGTCACTGTATCCAAAGTTGCACTTGCTGGTAGCAGCATACTTGGCTGCATCGGCAGCTGCTGGGTCTGAGACTGCAGTGCAATTGAGCGATGTAAGCCAGCAGGTTGTGCACTTGCGAGCGTCGACCCCAGCGAGGGCTGCCGCAACCACGAGCAAGGGCACCGCAAAGCGCATTTTCGGGGGAAGGAAAGACAGCAGGAGGGTGGGGAGGAGGAGGAAGAACAGTGAGAGGAGACTGCTACCTGCCGAGACGGGAGAAACGGAGAGGAGCAGGCGCTAGTGAAGGAGAGGAGGGAATGCCCGGGGGCGGGGGGATGTAGAACCTGATTCCGATGACCCCAAGGGGGGTACTCAAGTCAGGAGAAGGTGGGTCCCCAAAGGAGTATCCGGGGGTGGGTGGTCATCGAAGTTTTTTTTTCTTGATTTTTTTATGAACCGACGTAGATCTACGTCTCTACAGGGTCTTTGTGAATGACCACCCCTACCCCCGGGATCACAGGTAACCCCCACCCCCTCCAGACACCTGAGTGTGCCTCGAAGGTCATTGAGACTCGGGCAATGTGGACCCCACCCCCGAGACTCAACGGCTCAAGCAGTGACCCCTGCAACCCTACCCACCCACCCTGTGCTGTACTACGTCTCTCCGATTGAGTGAGCCCTAACGGGGGTGCATGGGTAACGTGGGGTACATTAATAATTTGTGAGGGGTAGTTTGATATCACACAAAGATGGCGCGTCCATTCTTTTTTTCTTTTCGTCATTACGATCTACTGTTGTAGTCATCGCATACGACCAAGTCGCCCACTTCCCCTCTATGTCCTCGCCAACTGCTTTTGGGTCAGGGGGTCTTGAGCCCCCTACGCCTCTTCGAAGTGAGTTTGGTTGACTTGGGGGTGGTAGAAGGTGGCAGGGAGGGGGGTGGGCAGGGTTGGAGGGGTCAAGGAGGGGTAGGGTAAGGGAGGGGGTGGGGTTGGGAGAATGACTGGATGTAGCTGAGCCCCTTGTGATTGTGGACCTGGATCTCCCCTTCCTGTTTCTCTTCTGCTCCGTCCTCCTCCTGACCCCCTTCCTGCTCCTCCTCCTCACCTTCCCCTCAGCTTGTTCCAACCTCTGCTCTCCTAGACCCTCCTTTCAGCATGAAGGCCTGCATCGCAGCTTTCCTCCTCCTGGCGGCGGCGTCAGTCAATGCGCGCAAGTGCACAAGTTGCTGGTTGACCTCGCTCCAGTGTAGCCCTGTCGCTCCCCTGAGCAGCTCGGATGACACGACCAAGTGGGCAGCGACATCTTCCTGCACCTACGGATACAGTGATGGAACTTACGCAGTGCTGTCAGACCATGATAGTGGGTTAGAGCCTCTGGTTTTCACTGCTGCCATCTACAGTGGGTGTGGCAAGAAGTCGTACCTGGACCCGAAAGGCCCCCAGGGTTACTGTAACAAGACTGCTATCACTGGAAAGACGGACTCCAAGATCCTCTTCGGTCAAATCAACACTCTAGATGCAGCTACGATCAAAGCTGTCTGCACAAACTCGGGATACTGTACCACCGATCCAGCTGGAACTGCCGTGTATTTCAGCAACCATGTTGGCTATACTGCGACCATCCCCTTCATCTCCAGCACTGGCATGCGAGTCTTTGCTATCGTGTATGTCAATGATCCCGAAACAGCCGGCGACATTCAGATGGTGGAGCTGAAGTTTCCGGCACTTGACAGCAAGACCAAGAATGTTTCTACTTGGAAGCCGGTTGTTGTCACCGACTCCGTCTACTCCACGAACACCAGGGGAGTATTCCAGCCATCCGGAGGAAGCTTGACTCCCTGGTGCACCGCCATCGGAGGCGAGAAGGCTCCCGACGCTAACTCCAACACCATCAAACAATACTTCACGACAAAGTCTCCCCTTCCCACTTCCCTTAACTACGGGTGGGTGACTGAGAGCCGCGTCGAGATCGACTTCAGCGCCTCTGTCCTCAAGCGCTACGCCCTTGGACGCATCCAGGCTACCTCCACCTTCGCCATGCCTGACAAGAAGACCGTCTACCTCAGCGACGGGCACGTGCTCTACATGTTTGTGTCCAAGATTGCCAAGGACTTGAGGAACGGCACCCTGTATGCAGCCCAGCTGTCGAAGGAGAAGGTCACCTGGATCAAGCTCAACTCTGCGAATGAGAGCGATTTGGCTGTGGAGAGCAAGAAGACAACTACCTGGACAGACTACTGGGACGGCGCTGACTTTGTGGATCCCACCGCCACCTCCAAGACCTGCCCCACTGGCTACTCCAAGGTCTCCTCCTTCACCGACAAGTGCTACAAGATGAAGAGCGGGAAGGAGAAGTTCGCCTGCTTCCTCTTCCCCAGGGACTGCGCCATGGTCAACGGAGCCACCACCACGCTGTCTGTGACTGGACTTGCCTACAACATGGACGACAAGGGGGCGACGGGCAAGGAGCTCGGGCTGAAGAAGTTCTTCGTGTCTTTCTCGGAGGTCTCTACGGGCATGCAGCAATCGCTCGGTGGGGCTTCGGTGGTGCGTCCGTGCGGCTCGGTGTACATGTTCTCTGTCGGAGCGGTCGATGCTTGCCATATCAAGGTGAGCAAGGCATGCACCGACGATGAAGCAGCGAAGGCGAAGAAGTCTCCCATCACATCCTACGGTCTCACCACCTACAAGGTGGACGTGGTCAATGGACTTCCCTTGGTTTCAGACAACACACGGTGTGAGCCCAGCTTGCCTGCTCGACCCAGCTACATTCACTTCGCCTCCTACCACAACACCCTCTTCATCGCCGATGGCAGCGGGCATGACAGCAATCATGTCTGGCTGCTCGACTTCAGTGGGCAAGGAAGGCCTTTTATGCCTTCCTCAATCTTCCGCGCGCCCAAGGGCCAGATGATCGAGGGCGTCAGCTGGCTCAACAACCTCGTCGGTGACGGTCGCTCCTACCTCTCCATCAGCGTTGGCGGAGGAACAGTTCAGAAAGGCTTTATTGGATACCTCGGCCCCTTCACGCTCAAGGGCTACAACGCCGGTTCGTACGACATGCTGACCAACATCGGCTGCCCGATCCGCGGCGAGCAGGACTATCTCTACGAAGCGACCAAGTACGTGGATCCTCTGGTGAAGCCTGCAGCTTAAGTACTAAAAACTTGAGAGGGTGTGTTATAACTTTTGATTAAAGAAACTTGTGTTTGATGCCGCCTTTGCCTGCGAGCAGCCGAGCAGCACTGAGTAAAGCCTTTCACTCAAAATTAAGTTACTGAGTCTAACCGTCGGAGTCTGAGTCAGTATCGCTGGGCGTGACTAGGCTGATGCTTTTGGGGACAGCCTCACAGCGGCAAGTCACTGGGTGCGGATAACCGCCGTTGGTTCTCGCTGTCTTGTCTCTTCTCGCCGTGTGGTGGCCTGCAGAGTCATTGCCTCCTCAGTGATCTGGCCCAGTACGGTCACTGTGGCGGCAGCGCAGGCTGAGGGACCGGTCCCCGGGCCCGCCGGGCTCGGTGCGGCGGCGAGGCTTGCCAATAGGTTTACCATTTGTGGGGGTGGTAGCAGTACAGAAGGGGTGAGGAGGGGGTCAGTAGCTTGTGTACCCGTGGTAAGCTATCAAATTCTTATATCGTAATATTGGTAGGGTACCATCCTGTTCAACGAACTCATGGGTGGGGGTACTCTAAGAAAAGGTCGACAGGGGGTAGGGATGTTTTGCATCCTGTCTCGGCGAAATATGCTACAAGGGGGTTATTGTTGAGAGAAAGAGGGGGGTAGGGGTATGATATGGTAAGAATGGGTAGGGAACCACATGAGGGGGGTAGGGTATTCTTGCTGGGGTAAGGTAGTCAAAATCAGACAAGGGGGTCTACTATGTAGTGAAGTATGGGTAGGTTGTGTCTAGGGATAGCAGGGGGTAGATTTCACTGATAGTGAGGGGTGGTGATGATAAATTCGACCTCAGGTGGGGCCCTAAGAACGTAGGGTGGTATGCTGTTGATGCAGGGGTAGTTTGTGAGGAGGGGGGGGGGTACGGGTAACAGAATTGGGGGTAGGGGGTAGTACTATCGGTCGGGTACAGGAGGACCAGGGTTTGACGGGGGTAGTGTCCTTAGGGGGTCAGAGTCAATCCCTGCAGATAGGGGGTCGTTTGAATATAAATAAGGGGGTAGGGGTGGAATTCCACAAAGGAAAGACGATCATAGGGGTAGGGTGCGGACTAGTGGCGGGAGGCAAGATGTCGGCGGGGAAAGATAAGAAGAACAGTTATGGCGCGCTCACACCGGCAGCCAAGAGGTACGACGATGCGATAACAGAGGAGACGAAAGAAAAGTCTTTGCTTCTCAGATGTGATGTGAAGAACAGCGCAGGATGGCAAATAACAGTGCAGAGAAATGAAAAGTGGACAGAAGGAATAAGTTTTCAAAAACAGAAGGAATGAGGCAGTCCTAATGCAGGAAGTTAAAGTCATTGGTAGTATGTGTGGGGACCAATACGCTTAGAAGATGGCTATTGGTGAATGATGGGGCAGCGGAGAGGTTGCAATAGCCATGCAAGGGATTGTGCGAACTTGCTTCTTGGAAGCTCAAAATAGAACAGTGGATTTATATATTTGGTTGCTAATCGTGTGATGGTTATATTTGGTTGCTAGAGGCTTGTTATGTTCATCATCAAATGTATCGATAGCTGTGCCGAAGAAATTGATGTTAGCTCTGAACCTTATGTCCATGTTAGAAAACCGCCACCGATTGCATGACTTTGTGATCGGGCCGGAACAACTGTGTTTGTGTGCAAATGTGACGGCCAGCATGTTGAGGGCTCTGTCTGGTCTGATACTGATCTTTGCTCTACAGAATACAGAAGGAATTAGCAGAAATTAGTTTGGATCCCCCGTGCAATTGTTCCGCAGGGCCCAAGGGTGAGAACCTCTTCGAGTGGGTATCAACTATCATGGGACCGGCAAACTCACCGTGAGTTTGTTTCTTCCTCCCCTGCTGCAGTCTGCTCAACGTTGGCTGCAGATATGCAGGCGGAGTTTTCTTCTTAGACATTAACTTCTCTCAAGACTATCCCTTCAAGCCCCCCAAGATTACCTTTAGGACGAAAATTTACCATTGTGAGGAGGTGTTGTCAATCTCGATGGCAACTCACAACCGGTGGGCAGGCAACATCAATAGCGCAGGAGCAATCTGCTTAGACATCTTGAAAGATAACTGGAGCCCAGCATTGACGATTTCCAAGGTAAACATCCCTGCGGCACCTCAAAATCCCTCTTACCCGCCAGCCCCCTCCTCGTTCCTAAATTCTTGGACAGGTCCTTCTCTCGATCTGCTCTCTGCTCACGGACGCGAACCCCAACGATCCTCTTGTGGGAAACATAGCGCAGCAGTACCTGTCAGACAGGTCTTGTCTCTGCATGGACTGTTATACCTGAACTGATGCCGCTCGACAGGGAGGAACACGATAAGATAGCTGCAGAGTGGACGAAGAAATATGCAACGTGACAGAGACGTGGAGGCGAAAGACGGACAGACGAATGTGTCTTCGACGACAAAACTCTTTTCATTCAAGACAAGTCTAGATCAATAATTAACGGCAGGCAAACTTCACATCGCTCCCACTCTCCGCCTCTCTCTATCCCTCGCTCAGTACTTGAGATGGATCAGCGCGTTGGTAAGCATGCGCACTCCTGCTCCGGGAGATGTCAAGATGCTCTCTGGATGGAACTGCACAGCAGCGATGGGGAGCGTCTTGTGCCGAACTGCCATGATGCATCCGTCGCTTGTCTCTGCTGTCACAACGAGATCCTCGGGGAGTTTGACGCAGTGCAGCGAGTGGTAACGCCCACAGGTCAGCTCGGGAGGAAGCTCCGAGAAAATCCCTTCCTCCATGTCGCCCTTAATCGTCACCTCCGACGGCTTGCCGTGTACTGGTGTTGGCAGGACCTGCTCGGCACATTAGAGGGGAGGAAGAGAAGTCCGACTGCCTTACCCCCAGCTGACCTCCGAAGTGCTCGATGATGCCCTGAAGGCCAAGACAGACTCCGAAGATCGGGATCTTGCGGTCCACGAGGGCCTTGATGGTCTTGGGGACCTGCTGGGGTTGTCACGCCAGCCGGTTGACGATGAAGAGACAGAGGGCTGCGGTGTAGGAAGAGGAAGGGGACAAAGGGAAGAAGGGGAAGGGCGGGAGGGAGATAGGTCCAGGGAAGATGGCAGGGGATGGAGGGAGGGAGGACCTGGAAGTCCGTGGGGTTGCCAGGGCCCGGGGACAGGACGGCAAGATCGAACTTGCGAGACTTGGCGAGTCGGTCGATCTCCTTGTCGTCGAGACCGACCTTGCCCGGATGCGAGCGGATGGTGACAACTTCAGCCCCCGTCTGCCGCAGGTAGTTGGCAAGGGTGTGGACGAACGAGTCCTGGTGGTCGATGAGGATGATTCTCTTTCCCGTCCCCCCCGTCATCTTCGCTTCGCTCTTGTGCGGCGCCGAGTCTTCTCCTCGGGGACGACGGATGGCGTCGATGAAGGCGGAGGCCTGGCGGGAGTGAGGAGGAGCAAACGGAAGATGGCGGAGGAGCAACTGAGAGGCAGAGAGGAGAGGGAGAGAGGCACGGGAAGGGGGAGAGGGAGTAGAAGCAGAGTGAGTTCGGAGTTCACCTTGAGGACAGTCTCTGCCTCCTCTGCCGGTGGGTCTGAGTCGAAGAGGAGAGTCGCTCCCGCACGAACCTGTCACAGAAGAAGCTCAGAGGGAGCAAAGAAAGGACGAGGGCAGAGGAGTGGAGGAGGAGGAGGGATCAAACCTGTGCGACACCATCGATGATGCGGATGGTTCTGAGGGTGAGGCCTGTGTTGATGTTCCCGTCGAACCCAACGTGTCCGATCGCTCCTCCGTACCTGAGGAAGACATTCAACCCTTTTCCTTTCCTGTTCCTGCTCCCCTCCTCCACTCTGTTTCTGTTCCTGTTCCCCTTCGTTGTCGTGTTCTCCTCCTCACACTTCCTGTTCCTCTTCCTACCAGGCGCGGCAGGTCTTCTCGTGGTCCTCAAGGAACTGCATCGCCCAGGCCTTAGGCGCCCCCGTCACCGTCACTGCCCACGTGTGCGCGAGAAACGCGTCCAGCGCGTCATAGCCCTCACGAAGAACCCCCTCAACCTGCCGACCCGAGTGATGATGATGATGATGAGGAGGAGGAGGAAGAGGAGGAGGAGGAGGAGGAGCAAAGGTAGGATAGAGGGGCAGGGGCAGGAGGAGGAGGAAGAGGAGGTCGTACATGGTCGACTGTATGTATCAGCTTGGAATACATTTCGATTTGCCTTCTACCGATGACCTGAGGACCCGATCAGCTCTGAGTACAGCCAAGGACGAGAAACAAGACGAGCAAGAGAGGTACAAGGAGAGAGAAGAAGCGAGTTGAGGAGGATGGGAGTGTGGGAGGACAGGGAGGGGTACGAAGAGGAAAGGGGAAGAGTTAAACCTGAACAGATCCTGGTTTGCAAATTCTCGATTTGTCGTTACGATCAACATCCGTACACATGGTGAGCTCACTGCCAAACAGTCAGAAGGGCGGAAGAGAACAAGGGAGGACCGAGAAGTGCAGGAAACCGTGAGGCAGGTGTGAGGGGAGAGCGAGGAAGGGAGAGGACAGTGCGTCGGTGGGGGTTGTGGAAGTGGAGGGATAGAAGAATGGAGAAGGATGGATACCTCTCCTCCTTGATGCTGTTAAGAAGTTCTTTGATGTTGTTCGCGTCCTCGATCGCTGTCTTTCCCCTTCTGATCGTCCCTGCATGCACATCAGTCTCCTCCCTCGTCCTCGTCCTCGTCCTCGTCCTCGTCCTCCTCATCGCATCTTCCCCTTCCACCCTCTCTTCTCTTCACGTACCAGAGATGGGGCAAGTCTCGATGCGCGATCCCTTGCTCCGCACGTACATCTCGGGAGACGCTCCCACCAGGTACTCCTGCGAGCGCGTCAGGAGGAGGTGAAGAGGGGAAAGAGATGAGAGCGAAGATAATGGCATGTAGAGCAGAGAAACAGAATGCCAAGACGGAGCGAGGCAACGAAGGCAAGACGGGAGGAGAGAAGAAGAGGAGAGGAGGGGAGAGGAGAGGAGAGGAGAGGAGAGGAGAGGAGAGAAGGACAGAAGGAAAGGAGAAGAGCAACAGATGAGGAGGGAGGGCGAGCAAAGGAGAAGTGAGGAGGAGACAAGGAGAGAAGGAGAGGAGAGGCAGCAGCGCTAGGGTTACCTTGGCGCCCAGGTTGATGAAGAAGGAATAGGGCGAGGGATTTCTCTCGCGTATCCTCCGATGCAGCTCTGACCGCCCATGTCACTTTCTCCTCCCCTCGCGTCTCTCAATTAACAACCAGAAGGTCTTTCAGGACAGGGCTCGTAGAACGTTTGCGAGCAGACAACCTGCAGAGGGTTAGCTACCCTTCTCCTTTCCTCCTCTTCTTTCTCCTCACCTCAAACAAATTTCCGCACTTGAACTCTTCCTTTGCTTTTGTCACAAGTTCCGCATATTCTCCTTCCTGCTCAGGTCGTCAATGCTGCCGCCCAGCTTCCTCCTCGTCCTCGTCCTCGTCCTCCTCACCTTGTGGTCGCGATTGACCGCTGGCTTCGACCCGACGAAATCTTCTGCTCGACCCTCACGCGGCATTCCTTTTGTGCTTTTCCCCCCATAAGTGAAGTCGAAGCTGACTGAACTTCTCGTCAAATAAAGTTTCAACATCTCCCTCGTCCTCCTCCTCGCCCTCGTCCTTCTTCTCCTTCTCTCCTCCCCCTCCCCCTCCTCCTCTTCCTGTCCTCCTCCCTTTCTCCCCAGTCCTATTCTCTTCTCTTCCGGTCGTCCCATCCCGTCCTCCTGCTCGTATTGTCGTCTCCCTAGCATTCCTTGGCAATATCTCCTGGTTTCATCGTCCTTCTCCTTGTTCCCTCTCCCTGCTTCGAGTTCTCTCCGTCCCATGTTATCCTGCCCTTCTCCCTTCTCACCTTGTTTTGCAGAAGATTCATCGTATCCCACAAGCAGCAGCAAGTCAGGGATGAAAAGCACGACGTCTCGCTGTAGTCACTATCGATCAGACCAACACTAGCACAACCTCCTCCTCCTCCCCCTCCCCCTCCTCCCCCTCCTCTGTCCTCCCCTGCCCTCCTCCTCCAATCCTCTCCTCTCCTCTCCCTTATCGTCCCATCTCCAAGTCTCTTCTATCCTTTACATTCCGCTCCTCACCTGGCTGTCTGGTCGCTCCAGTCGCATTCTACATGGCTCGAACTGGAAGGTTAAATCATACCTGCAGGAGAAGGAGCAAGACGAGAGCAAGGAGACAGGAGGAGGAGGAGGAGAAAGAGAGAGAATCAAAATCAGCCAAATTCATGTGAAGGATTTTTTCTTCACCCAAATGCTCCGTAGAGGCCGAGATCAGGATCCTGCTCCGAAAAGAAGCACTGAATGATCTCGCGAACTGCACCAGCAAGAGGCCAAGTCGACGTCAGCAAAGGAGATCAAGAGAAGCAGAAGCAGGCAGCGAACAAAAGGCAGGAAGGGAGGAGGACAGGTCAAGAGACGGAGGGGGGGGGGGGGGGGATTGTGGATGAGCTCGACCAAGTGAGAAGACAGATGGCTGTTTGCTCCTTTCCTCCTCTGTGAACCTGAGATTTCTCGTCTCAACTTGAATCCATTCAGACTTTCCCTCCCTTCGCAATTCCTCTCCCCTTCCCCGACCTCCTTCCCTTCACCCTCCCCCTGTTCTGCCTGCCTCCTCCACTCACTTTTCGTTGCTCTCCTTGATGAAAACTGTCACAACGTCCGACGAAGGACACTCAATCTGTGGGAATTCAGTTCGTTTGCCACCTGGTCGGATCGGGACTACCTTGCCGATGCACGCCTTGTCTGCAAGAAAGTCCTTGATAGCCTGTAGCAGGACGAGGCCACGGGAGTTGAGAGCAGTGATCTTGGCTGTCAGGTTGCGCGATGTGATCATGATTGGGGGATCTACGAAACCCACCTGGCAGGGAACAAGCGATCAGAATCGAACAGAGATGATCAGGGCAGTCTATGACATCGACAAGGGCAAAAATGTCAAACAGAAGAGCAGCAGAGAAAGGAATTACAGCAAGCAAACAGAGAAAGGAGTTGCAGAGAGCAAACAGAGAAAGGAGTTGCAGACAGCAAACAAAACTGCATAATAGACAAGAACAAGACAGCCTCTGATCGCTACAACTCAAATGTCTCACCTTCCAACGGGTGTATCTCCCAGGATACTCGAACGTGGACATCATGAGCATACCCATGTGAGAGTCCAAAGCATCCACCATCTCCTCCACCTTCGCGTTGCAGTCGACCTGGACCTCCGTCACTCCTCTCCCTCTCCCTCCATCCTCTCCCCCTCCATCCATCCTCTCCCCCTCCCTCCATCCTCTCCCTCTCCCTCCATCCTCTCCCCCTCCCTCCATGCACACACCTTGGTCTCTGTGCGGTGAACCACGATGTTTCCCCGTGTGGTGTACCCGAGGTCCCCGTTGCTCATGGCAGCCCCCGCGTCAGCAGCGCTCCGCTGGGTGATTGCCACGTACTTGTCCAGCACCTCCAGAACCTTCCCCTCCTCAATCATCGAACGCGCGATGTCCGCAGCATCCTTGAAGCTCTTCGCCTTGTCGGCCAGGAAGATGGCAGCAGCAGCATTGGCGATGATGTAGTCCTTCACCGCATCGTGCGTTGCACTCTCCCCCTTCCTCTTCTTGCTCCCGCTAATGATCTCCCTGAACAGCTTCGCTCGCTCTGCAGCGCTTCCTCCCTGCACATGGGCCAGCTCGTGCTTCTCCACTCCGAAGTCCTCCGGCGTCAACTTCATCTCCTTCACCTCTCCGTCCATCAGCAGCCACACATACGTCGCTCCAGCAGGGCTGATCTCGTCCAGCCCTTCCTCCGAGTGCACAATCATCGCCCGCTGCGCCCCCTTGATCTTGAACAAGTTGGCGAACAGCTCTCCGAGGTTCTTCTTCCCCACCCCGATCACCTGGAGCGCGGGCTTCGCCGGGTTCGTCAGAGGGCCGAGCAGGTTGAAGATAGTCCTGATCCCCAGGTCCTTCCGTGCCTTGGCTACGTTCTTCATGGCAGGATGGAACGACTGCGCAAAGAGGAACCCGAAACCGCATTCCTGGATGGCCGACGCAACTTTAGGACCGTCCAGCTGGATCTGACACCCGAGGGCCTCCAGAAAGTCGGCGCTCCCCACCGATCCTGACGCCGACCTGTTCCCATGCTTGGCGCACTTGATGCCTGCAGCCGCCAGGACCATCCCTGCTGCTGTGGAGACGTTGAAGGTGTCCAGACCGTCTCCTCCCGTCCCCACGATGTCCATGAGCTCATCGGGCGATCCAGCCTCGCAAGGAGATGCAAAGGAGAGCATCGTCTCCGCACATGCCTGGAGGATACGAGGATCGAGCTCCTTGTGCTGGGAGGACAGGTCAGACTGCCGAAGGAGACCAGCTAAATCACCTGAAGGCAGGACAGAAACGCTCCTCGCTGTGCGTCCGAGGCTGCACCGGACATGATGTCATGCATCGCATTCTTGGCTTCCTCCGGCGTAATGCTCCTCTTCTCAGTCACCATCGCCTTCACTGCTAGCTGCACGGCCGCCATGGTTGCTCAGTGCAGGTTGGCGGGCAGCAAAACGAGAAAGTTTGACGGTGGAGAAGAGATGGAGGAGGCGGGGCGATAACCTGAAGGCAGGAAGTCAGGAAAGCAAAGAAACAAGCAATGGTATCCCAGTGTGATGCAAAGGAGATGGCAACAAACATGCAAGCAGAGCAGGAGGACGCGGAGCAGGCAGGTGAGGGGGTGGATGGGGAGGAGGAGAGGTCAAGCAAGAGCAGCAGTATGATGATGATAATGAGGAGGAGGAGGAGGAGGAGGAGGAGGAGGGAAGGAGGAACAGGAGCAGCATGAGGAGCAGGAGCGACGAGGAAGTTCGAGGTTGAGGAGGGGGGGCGAGAGCGGTGGGATCCTATGACGAGCACGAGGACTTCCAAATTTTCGCCAAGATTCCGAACACATCAAAAACTAGACAAAATGCCTCAAATAGTTCCATGAAACTCTATAGTAATAAATTACTCTATTTGATATTTCATATAATTATATACGAAAGAGAAATAAGTGAAATCACAAATAGAACCCCTCATTGATAAATCTATTTGCACTAGAATAAATCAGGGGGTACAGAGCTGAATGTCGGGGGTGGTAACTAGAAACAGGGTACTGATAAGGGATGAGGGTGGGGGTACTCAGATATGTAAAGGTGCTATATTAGGAAAACGCCTTTACTGTATGATAGGGTAGGGTGGGGTGTCTTTGTTGAGGGTGGGGATATAGGGAGAGACAGCCTGGAGCTACCCCTCCAAAAGAGGGGGTAGTATGCTATAGTATTAGGGGGTACTGGAACTAAAAGGTGACGGTGAGTCCCGCCGGCCGACGGTCGGGCGCATTCGGCCGGGCCTGGGCCCCGGGCCCGGGCCGCACGCACCCTGGCACTGACTGAGATGATCACGTAGGACTTCCGGCCGGCGCGACTGCAGGCTTTAGGCTACTGGAGGCCGATGCTCAGCTCATAACCGACGGAGCACAAGTTTGTTAGACTTGTACCGGGCTATGCCAAAGTCACGGCAGATATCACATCAACCTTAGTTCAGTGTACGGTAACAAGATCGGACCGTACAGTTTTTGCTCAAGACCGAGTTTAATGCACACAAAACCAGAATTGAGGAGCACATGAGAGATAGACTGTATGCTAGGATGTGAAACCCAAGCATCCAGACATGAGAGGACCTTAGCAAGACGTCTCAGGTGATCCGACTTGCAAACGCATCCGGTCCAGGATCTTTCGTCAGCCTCAGTCAACTGACCGTACTGCGGCCTGGCAAGGCCTCAGTCCCTGGACTTCGGAGTCTCGCGCGCCGCGGCTGAGCTTGCCGCCGGTGCGAGATGACGCGCTCGCTATGGCTGCCGATCTAAGTTGAAGCGGCTGCTTGGACGGCAGGCGGAGGGAAGAGACGTCGAGGGAGCGCTGGAGGCGCTGGTGGAGCATGTGGAGTCCTTGTACCTCCTGCAGATCTCCCACGTCACCTCCTCATGGCGACACTGGAAGACGTAGACAGTGTGGCCGTCGTGAGGACAGTTGTAGGTGCGGAGGATGAGGAGGGAGAGACCTTCGAAGCTGACGACCCTGAGATGAATGTAAGACTGTGAAACATCAGGCCCAAGAGCGCGACGTGGAGAGATGACGTGAAGAAGAGAGGAGGAGGAGGAGGAGGAAGGAGAGGAGCAGGTGGAGGACGGGGAGATCAGGGGGGCGACAAGAAGAGGGCTGCAAAGAGCAGGGGAGGGGCTGAGATGTGAGGCAAGAAGAGGATCGGGATATGGATCACGCCAAGGCGACGGCCTGGGGAGCGAGGATACAACAAGCCTTCACGACAAGCAGATAGGATACGAGAGACAGAGGGGGCAGTTGAGACGAGACAGCACGAGCACGACAACAAGAGGACGGAGAAGCGACTGGCAGGGAAGTATCCGTCGCAGGTCGAAGCATCACAGGGCTCCATCTCGATGGGCGACAGAGAGGCTGTCGATGGAATGCTGGAGGAGAGAGGCTCCTGGCTCGTGGGGCGGCGTCAGCAGCGACTCGCGCGAACTCTTTTGATGCTCGTTTCTCACATTCTCATGGTACTCACATCCTCATGATCACACTTCTGAGCAGTGGATGTCCAAGTTTTGCAAGATCCATAAAAATGTTTCGGCCAAGCAATCTGGTAGATTTTACATCTTTACTCTGATTCTCAATTGTTAGCAGATGGTGTTGTACATGTCAGGCATCAACTTCACGAATAGATTCAAGGATATCTCACAACTAACGTGACATTTACTAGCATCTTTAGGAGATGATGCCTCTAACTAAGCCACTAGCTCGTGCTTGTTACCGTCGCTACCTCGGTGGAGCCTTGGAAATAAACGACGAGACCACTAGATCGACTATTTGCCTTCACCTCACCAGCCCCATGCGGCAACTCGCGCACCTCCACCTCACTGGTCCCATGCAACTCGCGCACCTTCTGAGTCAACCGCAAACTCATTTCTCTCACTTCTCCCTTGCACTTGGCTGCCTGCATTACCTCCCAACAGCAAATCGAGAGGTGCTGGCGCTTGTTGGGGAACGACTTCGATTGGTCTTGCCACGGGCATCACCGGGATACCCGACACCGGGTGGGCAGGTTGATTTAGATTGTTATCCATCCATTCGTCAGGCTGACAGCAGAGCATGCACACGATGATAGAGCACGTCAGCTGAACGATGAAGAGCAGGAAACTGAACACAAAGATTGCCCAGGCGCTGCCAGTCAACGTCGGACAGAACTTGGTGCCCGCATACCTATCATACTCCTCACAAATCCAGGGCGCTTCAATCCCCAACAAGATAGAAAGTACTATTCCTGACAACAACACGAGGATGCTGATAATCAGGTACGCAAGGTGAAAGCCTCCCCATAGCTTGGTTCGGTACTTGCTGGTCGCGATGCCGACGGCTCCGAAGACAGACACGAAGATACCAGGAACGATTCCCCAGACCCCCAGAAACACCAGCACAGCCTCTGCATCGCTTTTGTCTTGTTTACAATCATATGGATATTCGTAGTACGAATACGAGCTGCTGCTGCTGTATGAGCTTGAGCTAGAAGTAGATGATGAGTAGGAGCCGCCGTAGTACCCCGAGTTGTACCCCGAGTTGTACCCCGAGTTGTACCCGATCATCAAATCTCTGTTGTAGTCCGAGCTGTACGCGATGGAAGCTTTCGCGCTATCGTAGTAGCCCAAGTTGTATCCATTGGTGTAAGACCGCGAGTATATATAAGCATTATTCCCGGTGTTGTATCCCGAGTTGAAACCTGCATCATATCCCGAGTTATACCCTAGCGTGTAGGTAGTCAACGAGTCTCCCTGGTCATACCCCTTGTTGTATCCCGAGTTGTATCCCGAGTTGTATCCTGAGGTGTAAGTGTAGCTCTGACCCGACAAGTCACTCCAGCTGTATCCCGAGTTGAATCCCGAGTAATAAACAGAAGTATACAGACTGCTGTAGTAAGAGGCAGAGGAGTATCCGTTGGAGACACTGCTGTAGGCTGAGGTATATCCGTAGTTGTAGAAGCCTCTGTTGTATCCATTGTTGTACCCGTAGTTGTAGGCATTGTTATAGCTTGACCTGAAGGTGCTGTCGTACCCCCCGTTGTATCCCCGGTTATATCCCCTGTTATATCCCCTGTTGTATCCAGTGTCGTACTCTGAGGAGCTGTAGGATCCCGAGCTTGATGCCGGCGATGAAGACGGGATTGGGCAGTCGCAAGGTGGATTGTAGGCAGCTGGGACTACTCCAGCAATGAGCAAGGCGAGCCCAAGAACCATGCTCGCGATGCTCATGTGAAGAACTGACTTCATGGAGCATTTACACGTGGTTTGAAGCTGCATGAGGAGACGGGCCGGTGTTGGAGGTCTGCGCTTGATTGAGGTGGGAACGGATAGCAGGATGATGGTTGACAGAGTAGATGACAGGGGGGGGGGTGTCTGGTGGGTGGTTCAGCGTGGAACCATGGGTGGGTGGTTCAGCGTGAAAGCATGGGTGGGGGGTGGGTCAAGCTTTGAATTCAGTGGGGCCGCATCGTGTACCCACCCTCTCAAGTACTTTCCGATCCCGCACGGTCCAACCGTCCGATAAGGCTGTTACATTTACTCAAAGTTAAGTTAAAAATCAGTACGAGGACCGTACAATCAGGAGATCGGATGCGCTGCAATGATTTGACCGGACTCCCACCTCCCACCAGTCACGTGATCATCGGATCCGATCGGAGGGATCGCTGTGGCCGCCGCCGAAGGCCCGGAATGACTGAGACGCATAACGGGCCGGAACAGCACCCGCGATCATCGGACGATGGCAGCGAACTTGCGGGGGAGCCTCGGAGTCCGGGCCCGGCCGGCGGCGCCGCCGCGCCGCCGCGCCCGTCACCGTCCGAGTCCGTGCGGCCCAGCACGACCACTAGGGCCTCAAAGCCAAGTTCGTTAAAAATCAGTACTGGCCGCAGCACTGGCTTCGCCGGGCACCACAGTGGAACCGTTTCCAACTCAGTTCATTCAATAGTACTCAGTAACAGTCATTGAAGATTCTTTCGGCTGAGTGATAAGTGACTTGTCGCTTTAGAGACGATGCGTGAATCATGTTTCCTTCGCCAGCTCCTCGTCCTCCGCAGACCTTCTGTTGTGCACGTAGAACAAGATCCCCGCGATAATGAGTGCTCCTCCTACCAACTTCAGAACAGCGACACCCCCGTCGAACGGCTCGCCGAAGCCAGAGCCAGGGAGGATAGCGAAGATGAGGAGGGATATACCCCATGCACCAACGATCCTGAAGCTCAGGACCGACTCCTTGGTTGTTGCTCCGAAGTACTTGTTGATGGCCGTGGCAGCGATCATCTCGAAGAGGCTCATCAGGATAGTCCCCAAGATCAACAGCCCAAGGATCCAGTCGCTGAAGATGGCAGAGATCGTGCCCAGCGAGTCCTCCAGCACCTCTCCGTCGCTCCCTGGCAGCAGCTGCGCCATGAAGAGCACAGCGAACATAATCCCGCACCCCATCAACCCCGACACCCCCGTGAAGACATAGACGTCCACGTCCATGCTCCGCTCCTGCAGCGCTATCTCCGCCACGACCTGCTCGAGTCCGTCTGACATGGTCGACAAGACGACGAGCACGATCCCAACGATGGCCAAACTCGTGACTGCACTCGTGTGCACATGTACGAAGCAAGCAAGCACTGAACCCCCGATCACAAGGAGAAGGGAAAGGGCGATCCAAGGGTTCATAGGGCTGCGCTGGGATATGTATGCTGAACCCAGCGCTGTGAAAGCGACCAGCCCTGCGGCTCTCACCATCACGACGATAGAGACCGGAAGAAACATCATCGACGAATACTCCAGCATCCCTCCTACTGCCCCGAAAGACACCATGACAAAAATCTTGTAGTAGATGTGCCGCGGGAGCGAACGCGGGCTCCAGTTGCAGAAAGGAAGAATCAAAATCTTACCCAGGAAATAAGTAGAGGCGAAGAACAGAGGCTTCGAAAATCTGCTTCCTCCCTCCTCCGAGCCGTGCCCGAGCTCGGGGTCATACACTGAAGCCATCTTGGCAAAATTCATCCGGAGGCCGATGGTCAAGATAGCAATGAAGGCAAGGCCGAGCATCTGGTAGAATCGTTGATCCCCCAACCTGGGGGCAATGCCCAGCAAAGGTTTTTCCTCGTTCATGTCTGTTTCCTGCCAAGATCAAGCCTACGAAGTGGTAATCAGCAGGTAATCAACTTCGTTGAAAAGATGTAGTTCATGAAGGCTAGTAGGCAAGTTTGATGTAAAACAACAACAAGAGTTCATGATATATGAAGCTAAGTTAATATTCTTGTGAAAAAAAAAGAACATAGAGTTTCACATGTTCTCACAAGTTTTGATCGAATCCTTCTTAAAATGAATTGTTTCTACCTCATTCAATTCTAAACCATTCTCCTCCCCTCAACTGCTTTCCACTCCGCACCACCGCTCTCCTCATCTTTCCCCCTCTCATTCACTTCCTTCAGTCGTGCTCTCAGCTCTTTCTTACTCTCCTCTCCTCCTCTCCCTCATCGCGTGCCATACCTGCATTGTCCCTTCGCTCTTTTTACCCCGGCCGCCCCTACCCCACTCCAAGTAGATGGCACCCTGAATTATCCATGAAAGTACCCACCTTTTATAGCGGTGATAATACTACCCTACCTCCCTTCCGCAGATCCTTTTACGAATTTATTTTTCAATTTTTTTTTGTTTTGATTATTTTTTTCCTACGGTTGGAGCGCGGCGCAGAACATGGCGAGGAGCGTTGGAAAGGAGGGAAGAAGAGCGAGGAAGGGAAGGGGAGGGAGCACGAGAGCAAGATCACTGTCAAGAGGAAGGGAGAGGAGAGGGAAGAGCAAGAGAAGGACAGAGAGATGGACGGAAGGACGATGTGATTCAAGGAAGCAACCTAAAAGAACGAGAAAGAAGGTGAGGGATAGAGCGAGGGTAGAGTAGTTGTGCAGGATGGAGAAGGGAAGTACAAAAACGCAAACTTGCTGGGAGGCAAAACATTCGTGGTAGTGTAGCAGATTGAAAGACTTGGGAATAACAGCATGCGCATTTGATTCATGTCTTATCCCTCACAATCCTGCAGACTTCATCATGCCTCCGAAATCTGCACCACCCAAGAAGCCTATGTGAGAGCTGGGGTGATGGAGGGGCTGCTGTTGACAGACGAGGCAGGAGGCGGGAGAGCGTGTCAGGAGAGGTAGGACTCAAGGCAGACAAGAAAAAGGACGACGATGCTCAGAGCGGGTGAGCGATTCCTCCTGCACGTCTGCATGCTGACGACGAGGACAGGTGGGTCGAGCCGACGACGGTGGTGGTGAAGCCTCCGGAGCAGCTGGACCTGACGGAGAAGGAGCTGAACACGGAGATCACTCGCATCCTGAGCGCTAAGGACCCCATGGCTCCTCATAACATCACAAGATACAGGCGCGACCCTCCTCTCCTCTGCTTCCAGCCCCACCTCCTCTTCTACCCAACCTTTGCCTCTCCCTCCCCCTTCCCCTCTCTCCCTCCACCTCCCCCTCTCTCCCTCCCCTCTCCCTCCCCTCTCCCCTTCCCTCTCCCTCCCCCTTCCCCTCTCTCCCTCCCCCTCCCCCTCTCTCCCTCCCCTCTCCATCCCCTCTCCCCTTCCCTCTCCCTCCCCCTCCCGCTCTCTCCCTCCCTCTCCCTCTCCCTCTCCCTCTCCCTCTCCCTTGCTCCTTCCTCGTCCTCCTCCTCCTAAACGTCCTCTGTTTGATGGATAATCTTGGTTGCTGATGGAGTTGTCGTTAGTTTCAAGGAGTTCACCTACAAGTTGGACCCCTCGGTCGAGCAGATGTCAACGCACTTCGAGATGGAGGGGAACCTGCTTCACAACGAGAGCGAGGAGGGAAAGAAGATCTTGGCGGAGAAGGTGGGAGGCGAAACATCTTCCCCTTTTGAACTCTTTCCCGGTTCCCTCTCACCTGACAAGATGCTGTACATGCCATGTCAGTCATCGGACATGTCACTTGTCTTCATGACTTACATCTTGCATCTCCATATCTCATCACACATCACATCACAGTGATATCACTATCACAATCACAGTTTCACCTGTCTTGACCACATTTTGCTTCTTCACACCTTCTCTATCCCGAGCGGATCCAACGGGCGTCGCAGGCGGCGAAGGAGGAGGCGAGAAGGCGAGCGGCTGAGAACGAGTCGCTGGGAGCCGGAGAAGGGTATCACGACGACAAACCCCACCGGTGAGACAAAGTTTGGAACTTTCAAACTTTTCATCTTTCCGAGTTTCGAACTTCCCTCACACAAAGTTTGTCAGGAATCAGTTCAACTTCTCCGATCGCGCTTGTCAGACTGCAGCTCCTCCCATGCGCGACCGCGAGATCTTCACGCAGCCTCCTCCCTCCATCTCCTTCGGTGATGACCCCCCCCCCCATCCAAACTCTCCTCCCTGCCTCCCTCCCTCCCTCCCTCCCTCCCTCCTCCCTCCATCTCCCACGAAGCTGATCTTCTTGCCCCCGTCATCCCCTTCCCTCCCTCTCCCCTCCTCCCTCCATCTCTTTCGGTGCTGCTTCAGCTCCGATCGCATTTCCCCCCATTCATCCGTCTCCCCCTACCTCCTCCCTCTTCATCTCCTCATTTCTCCCTCCTCCCCTTCTCGCCCTCCTCCTCTTGTGGTCTGACATGACGCAGGAAACACTGTCACTCTCTGCGAAGTGTTCGATGCCTACACGGAAGATCTTGAGCGACAGAAGATTGCCAAAGAGCGAGCCGGTTTGTCCGCCTCCTCCCCTCTCCTCTTCTCCCTCTCTGCTACTCCTTCTCTTCTTTCGTCCCCATCTTCCTTCTTTAATCATTGTACGTGAATGACATTTCCTCTCTAGCTGTTGCTGCAAAAGTTTCAAAGAATGTTCAGAAGACGGAAGAGGTACGATGAGAATGGTGGTGGTGGTGGTGATGATGATGATGATCCATCACCACCACCGTCTCCTTCACCTCCTCCTATACTATTACACATCCTCCTCCTCCTCCTCCTCCTCATCATCATCATCATCATCATCATCAGCATCCTCGGTCTCCTTCTTATCCTCATCCCCATCCTCCTCCTCCTCCTTATCTTCATCTTCATCCTCGCTCGTCCTCCTCCTCCTCCTCCTCGTCTTGGTCCTCATCACAATCACGATCTGTTCCTCCTCGTTCTTCTCCTCTGCATTTTTCACCTCTTCTTCGTCAAGCACGTCTCTCTTTTCCCTCCTCATCTTCGCCGCAGGTCATGTGCCTGGACTTCCATCCCACGCACGCCTCCCTCCTCGCCGTTGGATGCTACGATGGAACAGTAAGAGGAGGAGGAGGAGAGAAGCGGAGGAAAGGAAGACAAGAAAGGGACTTCAAGGAGGAGGAGGAGGAGGAGGAGGAGGAGGAGGAGGAGGAGGAGGAGGAGGAGGAGGAGGAGGAGGAGGAGGAGGAGGAGAGAAGCGGAGGAAAGGAAGACAACAAAGGGAGGATGAGGACGAGAAGAGGTGTAGGAGAAGCAGGAGGAAGTTGTCGGGGGAGGAAGGAAGGAAGGAAGGAAGGAAGGAGATGGAGGGAGATGACTGGACGCCAGGTGATGATCTACGACATCCGAAGCAAGACCAACAAGCCTCTCTTCCAGGTCCTCCTCCTCCTCCTCCTTACTCCTCCTTGCTCCTCCTTGCTCCTCCTTGCTCCTCTCCCCCCTCCCCTCTCTCCTCCTCCTCCGCCTCCTCCTTTCTCCTCCTCCCTCTCCTCCTCCTCCTCTCCTTTTTCGTTTTCTTTCTCTCCTCTGTCTCTGACTTTTCCCATCAGTCGACTGTCAAGACCGGCAAGCACACAGATCCTGTCTGGCAGGTGAGACAGTCGAGCCGTCAGAGTGGGAGAGGGCAAGAGGAAGAGAGGAAAAGTTTGGGAGGAGGTGGAGGTGGAGGTGACAAACGAGAGCCAGGACGAGGAAGGGGAGAAGGGAGATGAGGAAAAGGGAAAGAAGGAGAAGAGAAGAATGGAAAGGAAATGGAGGGAAGAGGATGGAGGAAGGGAGTAGGAGAGAGATGTTTTGATTGAACATGTGCAGGTGATGTGGCAGCAGGAGGATCTCTCAAAGAATCCAAACTTCTTCAGGTTGATGATCCTCTTTCATGAGATGAGATATTAACTCGTTCTTCCTCTTTCCCTTTTCCTCTTCCTCTTCCACCATCCACTCTCGCTTCTGCTCTCTCCATCCTTCTCTTCACTTCATCAGCGTCTCCTCGGATGGTCGAGTCACCCTATGGACAATGTAACAAATCAAATTTCTCTTGCCTTCCTCTTTCCCTCCCTTCTCTCCTCCCCTCTTCCTCACTCCTCCTCCCTCTCTCCTCTTCCCGCTCCTCCCGCTCCTCCTCCTGCTCCTCTCTCTCTCTCTCTCTCTCTCTCCTCCTCCTCTCTCCTCCTCTCTCTCTCCTCTCTCCTCCTCGCCCCCAAGGCTGAAATCCAAATAGGAGCAAGAACGAGCTGCAGCACACTGACGTGATGGAGCTAAAGCTGGCAGGGATAGTCAGCGAGGTAGTGGAGGGGGAGGGGGAGGAGGAGGAGGAGGAGGAGGGAGGTTGTGATGGCCCATCAGGAGGGAGAAGAGCACGAGGAAGCTTCGCTTGTCGGCCTCGCAGGAGGATGCTGCATTGACTTCAACAGCAAGAGTGAGAGGAGGAGGAGGAGGAGGAGGAGGAGGAGGAACTGATCACTTGTATCACAGGCGAGCACTTGTTTGTGGTGGGCACTGAAGAAGGAAGAATTCATAAGTGCTCCAAGGCATATAATTCGCAGGTGCCGACCTTGGCTCCTTCATCTTATCGTCTTTGACTTGTCTCCGTCCTCTCGCAGTATTTGGAGACTTATGACGGTCACTACATGGCTGTCTATGGAGGTCAAACTGACTGAACCCACCGCATGCAACCACCACCAACAACAACACCTCCTCCCCCCTCCCTCCTCCCCCCTCCCTCCTCCTCCCCTCCCCTCCCCTCCCCTCTCCCCTCCTCTTTCTTCCATCCTCCTCCTCCTCTGCCTGCTACTACTTGTTCTCTCCTCCTTCTCTCGTGCGCTCCTCCTCGACTCCTGTCGTCCTGCTGACCTTCTCATCAACTCTGCTCTCCCCTGCTCTCGTCCCTTACCGCTCCTCATTCTTGCTCCCTCTGCTCCTCCCTGCCCACTGACTGACTTCTGGCAGATCCATGTCTTCGACCTTGCTGAGAATAAACATGAGCCAATGTGCGACCAGAAAGTTGTGCGAAAGAGCAAGGTAACGCTCTTCTCCTGCTCCTGCCCCTCCCTCTCCCTCCTACTTCCCTCCTGCCTCCCTTGCCGCTCCGTCTGACTCATGGTTCAGCTCACCCATCTTGCGTTCAATCCCAAGCATCCCATCCTCATCGTCGGCGACGATCACGGAGGAGTTTTGTGAGCAAGCCAGTCTTTTCCTCCTCCTCTTCCTCCTTCTCCTCCCCCCTCCCCCTCCCTCCTCCTCCTCTCACTGCCTTCTGCAGATGTCTCAAGTTCTCGCCCAACCTCAGGAAGACGGAGGCACAGAAGGTGAAGGAGAGCGAAAGCTTTTAAGCAGGCCCTCACTGCCATGCAGAGAGCGGAGGCGATGAAGAACGAAGGAGCAGAGGTGCAGGAGGAGGAGGAGGAGGAGGAGGAGGAGGAGGAATCTCGCGCTTGACACGTGTAACAGCAAGTGAAGAAGCCTCCTCCCAAGAAGAAAGGGTGAGGCGTGAGGCATTTAGTGTGCGCGTGACATGAGCTGCAGAGGAGGAGAGGCGGCGGAAGACGATGACAAGAAGAAGCAAGTCAACCCTGCGGTACTCGCAGCCCTCCCCACGTCATGGCGACTGACAAGCGTGTCCTCTCAGGAGCTGGAGATGGAGAAGCTTGAGAAGATCCTTGGCATCTCCTCCGTGGAGCCGGTCAAGAACGCCCCTCCTGCTGCCGCCTAGAGTGTACAAGAGCGAGGAGGGGGCAAGAGCAGGAGGGAGAGCAGGAGGAGCAGGAGTTGGAGAGCAGGAAGAGACTGAGGAGGAGGAGGGGGTGGAGAGGGGCAGGAGGAGGAGGCAGCTCTGCCCCTGACAGTGCTGAGAGAGGCTACAAGAAGTGACTTGTTAACATTACAACGCATTTTTCAACGTAGAGCACATCGGGCACTGAAGACCCACGTCGCTGTCCTTGTGCTGGTTTCCCAAGATAGTCTTCCAGCTCTGCGCTCCACCGATCTTCAAGATGGGGGTCTGCGAATCCGAGTGTGAGACGAGGATGGGGGGGAATGAAGGGAGTGATAGAAATGAGAAAGGAGGGGAGGAAGAAAATACAATGAAAGGAGATAGTAGAATGAACGAAGAACGAGCGATGAAAGAGGAGACGGGATAAGATTTACAAAGATGGCAAGAGGAACGCGAAGTGGGGGCAGGGGAAGGGGCAGGGGCAGGAGGAACCTTGTCCCCAGGCATGGCAGGATGGATTCCTCCTGAGTGAGCCCACCACGTGTTGTTTCCAGGATCCTGAAGCCATGCATACTTGCCAATCTTGAGGTCCTGCGGGAGGATTGGTGAGGGTGAGAAAGGGAGAGATGCGGATGAACTTGGAGAAAGAGATGGGAAAACCAAAAGAAGCATATCTCTCAGAAAAATTGGATCCTTGAGTCACAGGCAAAATACACCATCACAATGAAATCTCGTCTCTTGACTTCTCCTTTCTCTCCTTCAAATCCGTCCTCGTCTGTCGTTGTTCTCGTCCTCGTCCTCGTCCTCGTCCTCGTCCTCTACCTCCTCCTCCTCCTCCTCCTTCTCCTCCTTCTCCTCCTCCTCCTCCTTCTCCTCCTCCTCCTGGTCCGCGCTCTCCGGTGTGGACTCACCTCGAACATTTTTCGGTCTATTTCGGGATCCCTACCCCTGCTACCGATGACTACCTCACCCCCAACGTCTTAAATACCCCTCATTTTACCTGCAAAACTTCTTTCAAGTATAGGGTGGGTGATCGAGACAAGGTGTGGGGGTAGCGATATAACCCTACCCATACCTTGCTCACGGATCCGCATATGAAATAGACCCCTCCTGATTGAGGTCACCCCACCCCTTCGATCATCTGGCAAAGCACCGGTGCTATGTTTCCCGAAGAATTTGAATAGCATGGCGTGGGGAGGAACTCGTGGCGGCATGGCGCTGTTGGGCTTCGAGGAGGAGGAGGCAGAGAGGAAGTTCAACATTTCCTTCGATGATATGACCTTCTCTTCGCCCTCACAAGCCCATGTCAAGCACATGGAAGTCGTCATGCACTTCCTCATGATCAAGGCGTGTCCCGGGGAAGCACAGCCTGCTTTCAAACTTCTCTGGCCGATTGTCGACAAGGCGCAGGGGAGAGAGTTCAGGAAGTGGGTCAGTGACAAGCTAGCTTCCATGCAGAAAGAGAGGCTGATCCCATCCACCCCCATCGTACGATCCACAATAATCGAGAACCCTGGCGGAACCAAGTTCATTGCCATCTTGAACTACCTCACACAATATGTCATGAGGAAACAGCTCAAGACCATGGGTATTGAAGTAATCTTGCTACAGTTCAACAAAGATCATGCACAGGTCTGTGTTGACGTCCTGAACCTTAGAGTGGAAAAGGAAAGGGCCCGATTTCTGCAACACGCCAATAGGTGCGCTGCAGAAAATGCAAGGCTGGAAGCGTTCGCGGGTAAGGTGGCAGAAACCATTAAGACTCTTGCATCTGATCGCGAGGATGTTCGAGCGAAGTATGAGAAGCTCAAGGCTGAAGAGAATCTTGGCGACATCGAAAGCTTGAGGAGGGAGGTTGAGGCGGAGGCGAGCGCGGTGCGGGACTTGTGGAGCGAGCTGGAAGCCGGGGATGTTCAAGCCGAGAGTAACCGAAGGAATGTGAAGAACATGGTTGTCAAAGACGATGACGAACTCGTCGTTGACCTGCACAGCATGAGCGAGAGCTCAGGACATGACATGAAGTTTCTCGGAGAAAACCCTAGTGTCGAATCTCTTCTGCAGAGGTGGGCAGCTACCATGAGCCAACTGCACAAGTATCTGATCAGAGTTCCTTCCCCTGACAACGGCCTCCACAACCTTGCTGCGTTAGCTGAGAGCTCGCAGTCTCTGTCAGCTGACTGCGACAAGAGGCTGGAAAGCGTTCGCTCCCTCAAGGAGCAGCTGCGGGAGCAGATTCACCTTGTGGAGAAGTCGATTGGGAGCTTGCAGGCAGAGATCTATCCTACCTTGCAGTTTCCTGGCTTTCTGGATTCGGATGAAGACCTCCCTGACGAAGCTGAGGAAGAAGATTGCGCCGTGTCTGAAAGGATCGAAATCTCCCAGTCATCATCTCAGGCAAGCAGCGCTGGGGCGACTGAAGCCCAACAGCCCGCTGTCACAGCTGACACTCCTGTTGAGGAAAATCCCATAGAGCTCTCAGCTCAAACCCCACATGAGGTGAAGAAGAAACTATCCTTGGATGGGGAAAGGAAGGAAGCCATCTCCGTCAACCATCATCTCAGCCCTAGCAGAACACCAGGGAGCGGGGGCAATGCCTCGCAACGCAAAGATATACTCCTGCAGGCTCCCCATTCTGCCACGGGGAAGGAGAATTTCTCGCCTGTTGCTAAACCCTCAAGGATCCCGTCTTTGCTCGCCAAGCATGCGAGCACTGGCTCCAGCTCCGAAGACTCGGGTGGGGGAGGGAAGACTTGGAAGCCGGACGTCGACGGGGACTCCGCGATTGAGAGGAGGAGAGCAGTGCTGAGACAGAAGCTGCAGGGAACTTTGAACGATGACTTCTTAAAGCCCTGATTGACAGGATTCGACACAAACTGAGTCGCAAGGCGGCGGGCAAAGCCTCCGTCAGCCTCACCCATTGAAGTGTAGCATAAAGCTCAGAAACTTCGGGATCACCTGCCAATCATCGGATGCGAGTCCGCAAATGATTCGTCCTTCACGTGATTCGCCGGCGAGACTCACACGGCGGCACTGCCGCAGTCCGACTGTCACGTCACATCTCAGTAGTATCCCGATGATGATCGTCTCTACGGTCACAAGTTCACGGCCACGCGGCGGGCGCTGGGTGACCGCCGCGTGGCCCTGATTTACGGTAGCGGCTACGATCCCAGCCTGCCAGAAGCAATTTCAACGACCGTCGCGGCACTGTGTCGCAATTGAATGATGTACTTGCCAGAAGTGAGATGTACGGTACTTGCCAGCTTGCCAGAAGCCCCGGGGGCCTCGGGCCCGGCCGTCGCAATGATCATACGGTACATCACGATGATATTGACTATAGAGCCCCATTCCTCTTTGGGGACCCCACCCTCAATTTCCCAAGTCCATGTCGAGATGTACCCCTCCATGAGTAGGTGATGACCCCACCGTGTACTCAATAGCCCTTTGAATCTGCTCTACCGGTGCTTTCTAGTCATGGAACTACCCCCTTTTGACACACAAGTACCCCTCCCTATTTACTACCCCGTGGGATGTGTAGTAAATCTACCATGATCGAGTCCATGACCCTACCCCCACCCCCATTTCTGAAGGGTCGTTTCTTGACTACCCTACCTCCTAATGCAACGTAATCTACCCCTACTAGAGTCCCCCAGTGATTCGTGGTCGATAGTAGACCCAGGACCCCCGTCACTGCTGACAATCTACCACCCTACCCATGATCGTGAAACTATCAGTATCTCAGGTACCCCACCTTTCTGTTCTCAACTTGCGTTCACAGTACCACCATGACAACGGGTTGTGCATTCCTAGACCCGTACATTACCATAGATCACGGGTTCAATATAGGCTGATATTCATTGAATAGTACCCCTACTTTGTCACCCCCACCCTAGACTTATCCTCCAAGGAGAATACCACCCGGGTACTTGTCAATAAGCACCCAACCACTGTCATGGCCCCACCCCACCCTGGCAAAATCGGACAGATCTCTGACCTTCATAGCTAGGGTGGACGGTGGAGGTGCTATAGCCTTAGGAATCCTATGCCCACGAGTCCTAGTGACCAGGTCCTACCCGCTTAGCCCCTCGTGCAACGATAAGACCCCACTATACCCCATTAAAACAGAAAATTTTCTCACTAACTTTAGTTATTGGAACTTTCTGGTAATACTGTTCTCACCACCCCGACCCCCACCCCCCACCCCTTGATAAATAGTACCATTATAATAAACCATATTCTCTACTACTGTGACTTAGTACCAATAGTTATAACTAATATTTTCTGTTACTATCAAAGTACCACGGGGGTCACTCTCTAGGGGGACGAGGTCATCCTCCGCTCCCGCCAGATCATCTCTCCGCCGCGGCCATGGCGTCTACCGCAGCCGCGCCTGAGCTCAGCCCCCAAGACCGCAAGCTCATCGACACTCTCAGAGACTTCCTGCTCGCACAGTTTGAAGGTTCCATGCTCCCTCCCTCCTTCGTATCCCCGTCTTCTTGCTCCTTTCAACAGCCCCTATGCCGTTTCCTGCATTGTTGACTGGGGAGGGTCACACCTTCGTGGGACGGGAGGGAGATGTTGATGTTATTATCGTGTGTATGAGACCCTTCGTCTTTTTCTCCATGTCTTGTATGCTCAGAGGAAAGTGATGATACATATGCATGGGCTCTGTTATACTCTGCTGAGACCATGTGGTGATAAGTAACTAACGATCCGCCTCATGTACAGCTGCGAGCAATATGCCAGATGCGAGAATACTAGAAGCGTTGAAGAACAATTCTATGGATGTCTCACGCGCACATGAAGAGCTTTGTGCTGAAATGGAACGTAAGCACGCTCATTCAATCCACCCGCACTGGAGCATTGATGTGCTTCTGCCAGGCTCTGCATGGGACACAGTGGAGACAAAGAAAGAAAAGAAAAAAGGCGAAAAGAACTCACAATCTGGGGGACACCAAGTATGTTGCACCTCCAACATGCAAAATCTTGTTCCCGCTGACAGCTGGTAGGATGATCATTCATCTTCGGCGCCATCTGGAAGGGGACGTGGAAGGGGTGCAGGACCAGGAAGAGGTTCGAACCTCAGAGCTTACTAGTAGCAGACCAGTTGACCTCTTTCTTCTTCTGCTGCAGGTGGAGGAAGAGGCGATTTCGCGTCTGATGGTACAACCAGAGGCGGCAGGGGTGGTGCCGACCGCGGAGGAAGGGGTGGCCCTCCTCAAGGTCCTTCTGCTGCAGATCGCGGTGCAAGAGGTGGGCGAGGGCGAGGTGTTGCGCCTCGACCACAGCCTGCCCCTACCCCTGCACAGCCAGTTGCAGCTCCTGCTGCTCCTGCTCCTGCTCCTCAGCCAGTTCGTGATGCCCCCATCCCACAGAACCAGTGGAGCAAAGGCCGCCCTCGGACTGAAGAGATTGTAAAACCTCCAGAGAAACCAATGCAGCAAGCTGCCGAAGTTCCCCAGTCGGTCTGGGGTCAATCTGGTGCTGTTGATGTTGCAGCTTCCGCTGGAGGCATGCAAGGAATGATGCCTTCAACCTCGGCTGGTCAGGGAGCTGGAGTCGGCAACAGTGCTTCCTCCAACAATGCCAGCGCTATGCCACAGTATTCTCAAGCAGCGAATGCTGAACACAGTCTCGCTGCTGGATTTGCCAACATGGAGCTTTACCCTTCACAAGCAAAGGCACAGCATGCGGAAGGTGCGGTTCAACAAGTTCCACAGTCCGCCCAAGCACAGGATTTGTCCGCTGGATACTCCGCTTCGACAGATGTACATCAATACTCGAATGCTCAGATGGCGAATGCTGCAAACTCTGGATTGCAGTATGGGTGAGCTTTTCATCCGTGTTTTGCCATGTATTGAAGCTTTGTATGTCAGGTATCAAGGAGCTTCAGGGTCCACGGCTTCTCATGTCGCTCCTCAAACCAAGAACCCTGTCATGCAAGAGCAGTCTCAACAGTCTGCAGGATTGCAGAGCAAGGGCGATCAGGACAATATGGGATATGCTGCCAATACCGACACCATGCAGCAAGCCTCTCAGATGATGAACGCTGCCAACCCTGGATTCCAATACGGAGGGTAAAGTGCTTCATACCATCTGCAGCCCTGATTGACTTCTTGCGCGATCAGATATGGGATGCCCATGGTTTCAGGCGCTGGAGTTCACATGCAGCATCGTGGCCAGCAACCTCATGGCATGCAGGAAGGTCAAGACAGTCAACAGACCCCTCAGCATCCCAACCCTGTCTATGCAAGCATGATGTTCCCTCAGTATTGGAATAACTTGGCTGTTCATCCTCACCAGGTCTAGCGTGATTTTATGTCCAACGCTCGAGGGTGATCGTTTCCCCTGCAGATGGCTGGGCAGATGGCTACTCTGTACATGCCGTACCACACGGGTTATGGTGGTATCCCAAGCCAAATGTACAATGGACAAGGATTTTCACAGCAGCAGCTTGGCGGAAACAAGTCTTACAACGCCAACCAGCAGGGAAAGGTAAGTTTTTTTTACTTTCAATCACTCATCCTCAAATTGACAGCTTCTGACACTTGGACAGCAACAACAGTCAGCTTATGCAGGCGCATATCCAGGCAGCGCCGCTGGCTTCTCCCAGTTTGTGGGCTCCGATGCCAACACAACTGCCTCGACCGCAGACTTCTACAAAGGTCAAGGATCAGCTGCGTACGCATACCCGAACATGTACGGCGGTATGGCTGCCATGAGTGACGGGATGACGGGCTTCGGACAGACAGGTGGAATCTCACATTCGTGCTCAGACTTGAAAAGCTGATATTCTTTCAGCAGGCTTCGGTGGCATGGCTAACCGCAGCACAGCAGGTCAAAGCTCGACATCCATGTCAGGTACCTCCGAGTGATCTGATGACGCGCCGGGTTCGTGACCGAGGGACAGATGCCATGTACCAGTATAACGCTCAGTCATCCTACCAGGGTAACTACCCCGGGGGTTATGATACTGAGAACAAGGGAAGCTGGGGGGGCAGATAAAGGAGAGAATGAGTGGAATGTTGCGGCCGACGCCTTGAAGTTTGATCTCGGAAGCGAGCGCGTTGGGACGGCAGTGTACATATGTGTATGATGCAGATCAATTGAGCCATCCCCACAGACTTCATAGGTTTCTACTGTAGAATATCCACGTAAACTCTTACCCGGCGTTCTGAAGCCTCAACAGCCATGCTTGCTCCCCCTCACCACCCCCATCTGAACACCTACCCCCCTACGTTGCACAAGCTACGTCCGCTCACCTACCTTGAGGAAGAAACACCCCTTCGTCTCTCGTCCTCCTTCTCTTCGAGGTGCTTCTTGTCAGAAATTGCCTCATACACCTCGTCGATCGTGTCGGCACCCGGATACGACGGCATGTTGACGTGAACCGTCTTGCTGTCAACAGCAGCTGCATCCTCTAGCTCGCCGTTCATGGCGTCCTCACAGCCAGCCCCGATGCCGCAGAGGGATTGGAAGCGACCTTTGAAGGCGTTGCTGGGGCTTCCCTTCCACAGCTTCTTCTCTATGTCCATATCCTTCTGGTACTCGTCCATGGCCGCCTTGACCTCGTTGAGAATATCATCGCTAGGCTTGTCCGGGAGACCCTCGAGGACTTTGTCTTTGTCGAGGTTTTCAGCAACCTGAATGTTGTTGTCATTGAAGTACTCGCAGCCTGATCCGATCCCGCAAAGCTTCTGGTGCTTGGCACCCTTGCGATGACCTGCAACTCGCTTGAGGCCAGTCATCTTTAGGAGGTTGAGGGGGCCCCCATAAGGAGGATCGCGGAACGGGAATGAGCTACTCAATCCCTCGACCCCGTCGTTCATGTTGTACTGGGCCGGGTTCTGATGCAGATAGTCGTTGAGCCAGAGATGCTGCTGTCGGCTGGAGAGGAGAGGAGACTGAGATTGCACGAGCGTGGTGGTAGAGTTCGATCGGAGCAAGACTACTCCAACCTGCAACGATCAAGTCAACTCCTTTGCCCTCTCGTCCTCCTCATGCGTTACCGCGGCCAGCAGCCCCACGGCTATCACGCTTGCGACAGACACGACGGGGGAGACTCTCATCCTGCGAGAGAGGGTCAGAAGGAGCGAATTTGTGGATTCGGTTGAGAAAAGGGACACTTGGTCAACAACAACCACAGAGTTGTGGTCTTCTCGTCACATCGCACTCTAAGTTTATGTGTCTTCGTATCCATGACATGAAATTAACAATGATCAATCACATGAACACTTATCAAACAAGATGTCAACAATCTGTCACATGAAACGCAATGCCATCACCTCGATCGCCCAAGGATGCAACAAGTAAAAGAACAAGAATGAAGAACGTTTGAGAGGTGCAACATGAGACAATATCAATAATTCCATCTATAAAGTCGCACTATCTACGCCGCATTCAAAACTGCTCCAACACCTAATCTTGTCTCGGGATACCTTGTCTGACACTTCACTAGCAACCCTGCCTCTCACACACGAAGCTGCTCCTCTTCCTCTTCCTTGAGCTTCTTCTCCCTCCCTCCCCTCTCCCTCCTCCTCTCCCTCCCTCGCCCCCCTCCTCTTCCTCCCCCCTTCCTGTTCTGCAGCGGCGAAGAGCCATGCTGCTAGGGGAATGAGGGGGATGAGGTTCTAATCTCGTTGGGTCAGAGGTGGGATCAGGGTGGGATGAGGGTAAACATTGTATGAGGGGGATGAGGGCAATAAGACTAACGGAAAAGCGTTTCCAGGAGGAGGCAGTTGGAGGAAAGGAGAGGAGAGGAGGAACGAGGACAAGAAGGAGAGAAGGGGGAGGAGAAGGAGAGAGAGGAAGAGGACGGGACGAGGAACAAGAAGTCTCCTCCCTGCTCTGACACTTGACATCAAGAAAGCAGCTGCGTTGGATCCGCGGGTGAGGGTGAGGAGTTGTGGGCAGTTTCAACGATCGAAAAGACTTCTGTAAAGGATTGGATGTTCATGAGCTGGAAGTGATAAGACATTGACGATCTTGATCGCAAACATCCTTAGCCTCTGATATGACTCAACGTGCACTCTCGCACAAGAAACCTGGGCACTTCGGCCAGCCAGTCGAATATGCTGACACAGCAGCCTCGTATTCACACGACGACATTCCAGAGAAGGCGAAACTCGCCAAGAAGCAGATCCTTCACTTCCTGGACCCCAACATCTTAGCTCTCAAGAAGAAGCCATGGAACAACCTCACTCAGCCTTCGGGGCCCTTTGCGAGCGATCATGGGCCGCTCTACCAGGGGATGCCTTTCCAGCCCAAGTTCCCCAACGCGAGTTTGAAGAGGACGCTGCATATCGGCACGAGCACCAGGCCTGAGATAGACTTCCGAGCCGAGAAGATCCCGAAGAGAGACCCCATCCTGCCCGTCAAGACCTCCAAGCTTGCCTTCGACCCTCGCAAGATCCTCGGGCCCAAAGTCCCGGCCAACCTCGGAGGCACGGGGATGCCGGAGGTGAACATGCACACGACGGTCCCGCCAGGCAGAGACGCGACGAAGACGACGAGATTCATAGTGGACGTGGACGCGACGGGAGGGCTGGACATGAAAGAAGCGTGGAACCCGAGCACGGCTGCTGACGTCAAGTGGCAGAACATCACCTACACGACTCAGCTGGACAAGGCGTTGGTGAACACCAAGAAGCGAGAGATGCAGTACACGACGAAGAGAACGAGCTTGAGGTCAACCTACTTGAGCAAGCGCGATGAGCAGAGAGAGCAGAAGCGGATCAACGCTCTCAAGGAAGGGAACTTCGAGGACTACATGATCGCGATGGGGAAGCTCCGCGACAAAGCAGAGAGTGTGGAGGCCGACGCAGCGAAGCAGAAGGAGCTTGATCGCATGGAGATCGTCTTCTCCAAGGAGTGGAAGGCGAAGGAGTACTTCTGTGATGGCGTTTGGAGGTTCGACCCCGTGGAGGGGAGGCACTGCTGGTCTTGCTGTGGCTCCTTCCAGCTGGACGGACCGGGCTGCCAGCCCAAGAAGAAGGCAGGGAAAGGGTGGAACTTTGCGTCTATCAACTGAAGTGGAAGTAAAGATTTTCATCGTGATAGTGCGCGAGTGTCGGAGCTACCCCGATCTCAGTTTTTCCCATGATCTCTCTCGAGGAACGAAGTAATGCTCGACAGCCACAAGAGCCTCTGGGCAGGATAGAGATGTACAGGATGATCGCAGCCCGGGATGATGCGCCAGGCCTTGTCCATGCTCGCTATGCTCAGGAATAGCTCCTTCTGCTTCTCGATGGAGGTGTAGGTATCTTTCTGTTGACAGCAAGTCAGCGGCAGGACACAGGTGTCCTCCTCTTCCACCTCCCCATGGATCACAAGCGTAGGAACGTGAACATCCTCCCCCCTGCAAGCGTTGAACTCATCCAGCTTTGACCATGAAACCTGCCAAGGTATCAGGGAATGCGAGAGGGAGGAGGCGAGTCGCCTTGCGAGGATCCCATTTCAGCGCCTCGTCGCCGAAGGCCTGAGCAGCTTCATCGTCAATTATCCCCGGGACCTGCACTCCAAATCACGACAAAACTTTCGAGGATGCCGAGCACCGTCCAGTCTTCCATGGCGCCTTCCATGGTGTTTGCGATGTAGGGTGGGGGCTTGTTGTAGTCTTCCTTGGAGGGAGGGCTGTAGACAACGTCCTTGTCGAAGATAGAGCCGTAGAGAACAAGCTGGGAGATGCGATCTGCATGCTTCTGAGCGATCAGCTGCGCGATCAGAGCACCCTGGAGCGACTTCAACGTCAGTACGCGCCATAGCTGCTCCCTCTCTTCCTCTTGCCTGGGACCACCCGACGAGCGGAGGCTTCTGATGTCCTTCCTTGGCCAAGTAGTCCAGCACGGCAAGGACGTCGGAGACGCACTTGTTGGGCGTCGTCCACCCCTCCTCGTCCCTCTTGGTGCCCCCCAACCCCCTGAAGTCAGGAGCGAACACTAGCCAACCCCTTGAGGCCATCAGGTCCATCGTGTTGGCTCCAAGATAGGAAGCGCCGTCTCTCGGCGGGCTACCAACCTTCATGAAGCACGTCAACCTCACCTCCTCCTTTCCTCCCTCGCGCACCTGAAGATCCCAGACTGGACGGGCAGACCATGTCCGCCCGTGGAGCAACACGATCGGCTTGCCGTTAGCTGGTCCCTTCTTCCACAGGGAGATCTCGTGTCCATCATGTGCAGATACAACTATCTTCTCGGGCTCGGTCGTCGCCATGGTGATATGCACTGGAGCACGCCGAGGAGAGGAATGGCGGATGTCGCAAACCCTGTTTCCTGTCCGGTGGGAGGAGGAAAGAAGACTAGAGCGATCAGAGCACGAGGATCTCCATGCAAGCGATGGGACGAAGCTCGAAACAGTCGATCCGTGCAGGATCAGAACTAGAATGGTGCAGAAGACAAGCTTTCTTGAATAGTCATTCAACATCTATCCTCTCAACTGCGAAACAACCATCAAGTCACGACGTCTCACAATGTCTCGTCCTCCCTCCTTGCCCTGAACTACCTTCAGCAACCCACTCCGATTCTCTGATCCTTGCTTCCCTTCCGTTTCCGCCCTCTCCTCCTGCCTCCCCGCGCTCCCTCGCTCTCCTTGCCATATTCCCCTTCACCTGCATGCGCTTGTTTCCTGCTTGTATGAGCAATTTTCGCTATCTTTCTGAAGTTGAAATCAATCTCCTATTTTTGAATTTTAAAGATCAAAAGGGTTGAATCATAAATACTTGTATGAAATTTGAGTAAAATCCAGGCAGGAGATACGCCGCAATGGGCGCAGGGAAGACGGCGGGGCAGTGGGGGTTGGAGGAGGATGGGAAGGTGAAGGTGGTGATGATAAGGGTGAGATTGTAGATCAAACATGTTGATACTTGGCATCTGATGTTGACTTCAAGTTTATCACCCAAGAATGCATAGTAGAACTACTGTCAATGTTACCAAGGCAAAGCTAGTGTGGGGTGCAGAACGACTTTGGCGAGAAGGAGTGAGCGAACGTTGGAGATTTTGCTGTATCTGCTTGCTGTTAGAATGATGGGATGGGAAGGTGTGCTGGTAACGAAGAGGAGGTTTAGCGCTCCATGGACGCGTGGAAGTACTGTAGTGTTTGCCGGTCGTAATTCATCAGCCGTTGGAGAGCTTGACGTCAGAGTTTAAACCCATGGAGATGTTGACAGTCTCCATGAGGTCTCTCGACCTTCCCCTTGTTTGTTCAACACGTTGCAAGATGAAAGTCAGATGGAGATGTTGCCTCTCATCGAGAGAGACGGAGCAGGCATAACGAGATTGTTTGTGTGCAGGTCTTGATGCCATTGCAGCTAAGATGACAATGAGATCGCACGTTCTTGTCAGAATCTCGCTCCTTCTCCTCCTCCATCTCACTTGCATCAGACCTTTCGCCCTCAGACACTGTACGCTCTTCCCCAAACAGCACACTGCTCTCCTTCGACACCCAGCCCTTGCTCGAGCAAGAACAAGCAAGAAGGCGTTGAGCCCCCGATGCTCTGAACCCGCGGGAGTGCAGGACAGTCACCTCAAGTGGATGGAAGGATCAGCACCGCCATCTCAGAACTTACAAGGCGCGTCCTTGCATGATGTTCATGCGCACCTGGACGAAATCCTCAACTCCCTGTGGGACGACAAGATAGAAGTGGAGGGGTTCAGACAGCCGATCCCTCGGACAGGCAACACGTCGCACATCAAACATGTCGTCGGTGGATTCTCCGTCGTCATCCGAATCCCAGAGAGTGGGATCGCGTATCGCATGCAGCCGATGCGGTCGATGAAGCACGGAATTACCTGGGTCGCCTTCTACAAGATGCTGGAGGAGGTGGCAAACGATAAAGTCTCGATCCCCACGGCCCTGAGGAACGACGCGATCTTCAAGCCAGACCGAACTACCATCTTCGAAGCTGGGATCGGCAAGAAAGCCTGGGAGGACCTCGAGTTCGTTCAGGAGTTCCAGGTAAGGCCGAGCTGTGGACCTTGTTGGTGAGTGAAGAGCTTGTAGGACGAGAGACTCAGGCATGCGACGAAGCGGCTGGTGCAGCATCGGAGAAACGTCATGAAGGAAGGATCGTTGAACTACCGCAGTGGGAAATGTCGATCAGCATCAGAGTGCGAGATCGAGTCGGATGAGGACGGGGGGATGGTAGGGAAGCGTGCGAGAGGGTGTGACGAAGAATCACGTTTGTGGTGTAGTTTACAGGAGTTTCCATCGTGAATGGGATCATGTTTCCTTCCCATTGGTTCTGGGTGAAGGTTAGAAACCCCTCCTCTTCCTCTCGCCTTCCCGTCCTCCTCGTCCTTCGTCTTCCTCCTCTCGCCTCCTCCTCCTCCCTCCTCTTCTGCGTGAGACGGGCAAGCAGGTGGGGAGACCGAGCGAAGTGAATGTAGACGACGGCAAGTCGGAAGGATATCGGGGGCACGAGGAGGCTCATTCGCACCTGTCGGTTGTGAGGCAAGATGACATCAAGAGGATAAAGGTAAGCTGCCGCCAGCCTGTTCGCACGTTGACGAGGACCGGGGAGCAGGGATCTGAGCTGGCCTCTGCCTTGCTGCTGAGAAAAACTCAATCGAAAGAAAAGCAGGAAAACTCGGTCCCGATGGCTGTGGACTTGAAGCCTGTCTTCACCCTGGTCTCCGTCTTCCCTCATGCTCAGGTGCGAACGATGACGCGTACTGGCTCGGTGACGTTGACGACAGGGTGATGTGGGAGGGCTGTGCAAGAAACTCTGGGCAAAGGGAGCGCAAGACAACGTGACTACGTTGGTCTTGCAGGTACACAAGAGAACTCTCTCATCCCCTGCACTTGCTGTTCGTCTCCTGAGTTCCCACTGCCTGCCTCTTTAATGCTCCCTTCTTTCTCCTCTTACCCTCACCTGTGTTGTTTGTACATGTTCTTCTGTTTTCCTCCTCCTCGTCCTCCTCTTCATCCCTGTGTTGGACTTGATCCTCACCCTCACCCTGTTGCTCTTCCTGATGCTCCTGCATTAGAGTGTCCTGCGAGGTCTGAGGCGACTGCATGCCATTGGCGTTCCGCATGGAGACCTCAAGGCAGCCAATGTGAGTTGGAAGGGGAGGAGGAGAAGAGTAGGAAAGGAGCAGGAGAGGAAGGGGAGCAGGAGGAGGAGGGGGGGGGGGGAGGAGCAGCAGCAGCAGCGTTTTCTCAACATTTGTGCTTCAGGTGCTCTATGCTAGTGGACGATTTTGCCTCACCGACCTGCCGGCGTTGAACTGGAGTGGTAACTGCCCCTCACTTCCTTTGAAGAGACCTGATGGTGTTACAGCAACTCCGGTCTTGACAAAAGACCCTGTTGCACAAACTATGGTGAGATTCATCTAATGCTCATGATCTTCATCGCCTTGAGCACTAATGCTCATGATCTTCATCGCCTTTCAGCAATCATCACCACCATCACCTTCATCGTCGTTGTCCTCATCATCTTCACCATCATCATCACCACCACCACCACCATCTCCTTTACTTGCTTGCAAGAACGAGTTCCATGATGATTTCTTCCTGCAGATTCGGGGAAAGCGTCTCCTTTGCAATGACATGTGGGGATTAGGTTTCATAGGCCTGGTGAGTCTGAGAAAGTCAGGAGGAGGAGCGAGAAGAAGTGGGGGAGAGTTTGGAGCGGAAAAGGAGAAAGAAGGAGCAGGAGAGTGGGGAGCAGGAGCAGGAACAAGTGGAGCAGGAACAAGAGGAGCAGGAACAAGAGGAGCAGGAACAAGTGGCAGAGGCAGAGGAGGAGAAGGAGGGATCCCTGATCATTACTAGTCATTGGTGTGCGGATGCGAAAGGATGGAGACAGTCAAGTCAAACCTGCGACAGATTGATCCCTTGGACTACAGGTGCTGCTTCTTGCTCCACACCTCCCGATAGTCCCTCACTTCCTCCTCTTATTCCTGCCTCCTGCCTTCTTCCCTCCCTCCCTCCTCTTCCTTCGTGACTTCTTTCTCCTCCTCTCTCCTCCTCCCTCCCTCCCTCTCTCCCTCCCCTCTCGTTCCCTCCTCCATCTCACATTCCTCCCCCTGACTTCTTTTCTCCAGTTCGACCAGCAGCGTGTCAAGGAAGCTCGACGGGGTCACCCAGAACTGGCTGGTCACGATCCTCCTCCTCCTCTCCTCCCTCAAGGGGCGAGGTAGCGCTGCCTTCCCTTCCTCGCTCCCCTCACTCTGTTCCCTTCCTCCAGGTCTTGCCCTCTCTCCCATCTGCCTCAACGTTTCGGAGGCAGCGAAGAAAGCTCTCACGTCCTCTTGGATCCGGCGCAACGTGCCAGCAGTTCAGAATCCCTCCTATCGAGTAACTTCCCTTGCCTCTACTCTCTTTCGCCCGTTCCCCCTACCCCTCCTCCACCTCTTTCTCTGCCTTCCATCCTCTCTCCTCCTCTTCCGCCTCGCTCCTCCACCTCCTCCCTCCTTGCCTGCTGGGGTGACGGAACTTCAGGAGGAATGTGCTTTCAATGCAGACCTGTTGGCTGAGAAAGTCTTCACATCAGGTAAGCCCTCATTTCATCTTCATATTCCCATCACCTTCACCTTCGTTCTCCTTTTCTTTCCTCCAGTCTCACCCCGCCCCCTTCTCGTCCTCTTTCTCGGATCCTCCACCTTCTTCTATCTCTCCCTCGGGTCCTCATGATCTCACCATTGTCCGTCAGATCGCTCGACGTCGCTCCTCGAGTCTCTCTGCTACTGTCTCGATGTCACTGACGTCGCTCGCAACGCTCTCGCCATGCCGTGGCCGGTGGAGGATGCTTGAACCCTCCCCCTCCCCTCATCCTCTTCTCTCCCTACATCCTCCTCCCTTCCTTGGCTTCAAACGCCCCCTCCCCGAACGTGAATGAATTTGCAATCGCAGCATTGGTTTGCCCGGGGAGCGCTGGAACAACAAGTCCCCCTCTCTTCAGTGAGGACAGTGTGAGGAGGCAAGGAGGGAGGAGGAGGAGGAGGAGTGCGGGAGGAACACACGGAGCGATTGCTATGCGATCTGCAGCAGAAACAACTTCAGCCCTTCGGACGATCGTCAGGGAAGGAGGGGAGGGCAGGACTCTAGCAGCTTGAAGCGCAAACTTTGCTTGCGGCTCAAGAAGTTAGTGCGACGTGCACTACATGCCGCCAAGGGTAGAAAAAGGAGCGCCGCTGACAGAGCCATAGCCGAAGGCAAGCTTGATCTAGGGGAGGAAAAGTCAGCGAGCAGCCCAGAGAGATGCGACAGAGACTCAGAGGAAGAGGGAGTATTTGGGACCTGCTTGAAGATCCTCTCCTTCCAGAACCTCTCAGTGTTCTGAACTTCTCGCTTGGGGATGCCGTCCTGCAGCGTGTCAGCCTTCTCCATCCCCTCCTCCTCCTCCTCCTCCTCCTCCTCCTCCTCCTCCTCCTCCTTCTCCTCCTCCTTCTCCTCCTCCTCTCCTTCTCCTTTCCACATCCTCTCCTCCTCGTCATCTCCTCCTCCCGCCATGGCTTCTCACCTGCAGGAGCTCAAGCGTGCAGCCCTCGTGCGCGCCGCGGTCTCGGATGGTGATTCGAAGGTTGGAGAACTTTCCAGGAGCCCAACAGTTCATCCTCCACTTCCCTCGCAAGTGTTCGTTGACCACCACCTCTTCGTAGCCGCCTGCATCCCGCGGATCAGAAGAGCAGCTCGAGACTGGTGGGGGGTCGGGGGGGAGGAGAGAGGAGAGAGGAGAGAGGAGAGAGGAGAGGAGGGAGAGAGGAATAGAGGACAGGAGAGATGGAGGAGTGAAGTGAAGGGCCAGCGAAGGGAGTATGTTGGCAGTGAGATTGGCAACGAGGAGCATGGCAGCACAGACCTGTGACGAGGCCTGAGAGGATGGAGAATCGTCCTCCTGGCTTCGACTCGATCATCGCGTCAGAAGATCTTGTGTAGGCGTTCACACGCCCAGCGTTCATCAGGCAGTCCCAGATGTCGTCAGGGCGGGCCGAGAACTCTTCGACGATCGTGAGGTCCCCGGTCTCGTCTCCACCTTGATCAACTGTCGTCGGCGTCTTGGGCTCTTCGATCACCTTGTTGACCTTCGCCATCTTCTCTGCCGCCTCCTTCACCTTCTCCGTGTCTCGTGGCGGCGAGTCGCTGTTGGAGGAGGAGGCCTTGGCGTTGAGGTCGTCCAGGAAGGCCTGGACAGCTTTCACGACCTCTCTCGTCCCATCCTTCCGCAGCCATCGACCAGCCGCTGCTCTCTCCTCCCCTGTGCCGAGCACTCGAGCCTCGATCTCAAGCTCGTTCCTGTCGTCGACCGTCACCTCGGGGAAGACAACTTCGGCGGTGAGCGGAATCTCCGACCCCGAGCCCTTGCTGCAGGTTCCTTCGAGGGACAGGACGAGACGGATATCGCAGAGAGGCCACAGGCGTCCCTTGCGGAGATGAATGACGCAGTCACCCGTCATGCTCGTCACGTTCACAACCTCCAGGTACCCACTGAGCCCTTCGAAGTTGGACATCTCTGACCTGACACCCTTCACCCGCTCAGCCAGCTGCTGTCTTGACCATGGCATCATGTCCCTCTCTTCCCAGTGCCAGGAACCACAGTTTCTTCCATCCTCCCTGTCCTGTACGATCCATCGTGGGTCTCCTTTCCCCACCTCTGCGCCTCCTCGCAGCCTGAGCGTCGGGCAGGGGCGGGCTAGGGAGCCGAAGCAGGGCAAGGAGGATGGAGGACCGGAGAGCATGTGAGGGACGTTGGAGGAGAAGGGGGAGGAGAAGGGGGAGGGGGAGGGGGACGCGGCACAGGAGAGGAGGACGAGGACGAGCGCCGCCATCAGCCGCAGCAGATCCATCATGTTCTCTCGCATGTTCTACCGATCCGCGCGGGGATGAGGGCGTTGTCCATGGCCCCAACGGCCCCCGCCGGCCCCGGGCCGCGCCCGCGCCGCGGCCGGGGGCCCGCCCTTCCAGTCTTGCTCCGTCGGCCCGCCCTTCGAAGCCTGGAGGCTTATGGCAGGCTCAGCGCCGCCCAGTCCCTCACACTGAGAGTCATGAGAGCAGTCCTCAGAAGGCCCGGGGGGGGGCAGGCGCCGGGCCCGGGGGGCGGCGGGGCCGACCGTACTCGGAGTACTACGGTACCGTCAGTGTCGCCGGTAGTCACGGCGAGTCACTGCGGCAACCCGGCGTCACTCGGACTCAGCCCGGCCTAGCACGCGGCGGCAAGCAGGCTTGCCAGTGACTCGGGCGCGGTGGGCATGGCCGGCGTGATTCTTCCGAGACTCGGAGGCCCGGTCACGGCCCGGTGCTTTGACTCAGTACCATACTGGCCCCCCGGTGAGTGACGGGAGCCTGCGCCGTGGCCGGCCGGGGGGCTCGGCGGGCAGCCGGGCGCCGCAGGCTTCACGGCCCGGTTTGTTGCCCGGCCCCCGCCCGGGCACGCGGCCCGGCCTCAGCCGACTGTGACACGGTTACAGTGGCGGCCAAGTACAGTCCTTCTTCGCGTCCGACCTAGCTTACGACACGGTTTCAAAGATGATCATCGGTAACAACAACTGCCAGGGGTGCTCGTCTGTGAACTACGGGCTGCAGCCGCTGAGTGCGAGCTGAAGTGAGGGGACATGTAAAGTTATTCATATTTACTGTCCTGATTCAAGTCAGACTTACTTTACACGCCCGGTCCCACGTAATCAATGGCCACGTCCTTATGATCAGATCTCTGCCAGCCGCTCCTCCTCCTCCTCTCCTAGATCGACCCCAGCTGCTGTCCACCTACACCCCCAGGAACGAGGGTCTGCTAACGTTGGCGGATGCTGCACCTGACGCTCCTGCTGCTTCACTCAGCTTTCTCACTCCTTCACATGTGCGTGCGATGACCTGCAGGGTCGTCGACGATCAAGCCATCGGGGTCGTCGTCGTTCAGATCTCCGATCTTCTTCTCTGCCCAGGAGGTGAGGAGGACGAGGTGAGGAGGAGGAGGTGAGGAGGAGGAGGAGACGGCGAGAGGAAGGACGGGAGGAGGAGGATGAAGGAGGAGGAGGAGGAGGATGAAGGAGGAGGAGGCGAGGAGGAGGAGGAGACGGCGAGAGGAAGGACGGGAGGAGGAGGATGAAGGAGGAGGAGGATGAAGGAGGAGGAGGTGAGGAGGAGGAGGAGGAGGGTGAGGAAGGTGGAGAGGAGGAGGAGATGGAGAGGGCGGGAGTTACACAACAATATCTTACCGTCTCCCTCCACTACGAGCGCCTTGTCTGTCACGTACAGGTCAACTCGAGCGGCGGCAGCTGCTACGTTGTGCTCTCACCTGCCGTCGCTGCCGTCCGGCTCCTGGAGTTACACACTGGAAGAATCAGCTCCCTCGGCTCCCTGAGCAGGAGGTCAGCTGACTGAAGCCCTTCAGCGTCCACCAGGGGCCCACCAGCCGAGGATCCTTGCCTTTTTGTGAAGTATCTCATCTGTCTTTTCCCTTCCATGAAGATTGTGAGGGCACAAGGAGCAGTCAAGAGTCTTCTTACCATGAGTTTGTCTTGAGGGAGATTACAGTGTTTGCCCAGTCCACAATGTCGTTGAGACGGTTGGAACCCTGACGAGAGCAGTCAGGAGGGCACCGCACTTACTCGACGACTCGCCTCATGCGGGATGAGATTCCCGATCTTGATCTTGTGCAGTCGATGGGACCAGCGCTCGTAAGAACGCTGAGCTGGGACGTGAGGAGGAGACAGACGAAACAGCACGGCAGACCTTGTACTCTAAGAGGATCTCGGACAGGCTGTTGTACTCGCACTCCTTGAACATGAGGTCCGGTCGCCGACTGAGGCCGATGGCGCCAAGTTTGCAGTTGTAGCGGATCACCTTCAATGCAAGGATGAGGCAGTAGGAGGGAGGGAGGGAGGAAGGGAGGGAGGGAAAGGCAGAGAAGTCAAGGTACGCGAGTGAAGGGAATGTAGTGGAGGGATGACGAGAGGGAGGGAGTGAGGGGATGGAGGAAGGGAAGGGGGGAGGGAGGGAGGGAGGGAGGGAGGAAGGAGGGGGTGCAGGAGACAAGCTTACCAGCACGATGTGTCCATACTTGTGGCCATCGATCTCGGAGTTAAAGATGACGGGGAGTCTCTCAATATCCGACATGGTCTGCGTCAGGTAGATGCCCAAGTAAACGGCCTCCACACACTTGATGGGCAAGCATTCCCGGATGACGCGCTTGGCGACTTCCAGAACTCGGAAGAGACTCTGGTTCTGACGAACTCCCTTGACGTTGAAGAAGTTCTCTCCTGTGAAGTTGTACTCGAACCCCTCGATGTACTTTTGGATCATCCTGTGCCGGGACGTGGGATCGCTCGTGAGGTTGAGCCGCGGGACATCAGGGCGAGGAGGGCACGGAAGGTCTGATCTGGTTTTGATCGCCTTTACCATCTCAGCAAGTTTTTCTTCTGAGAGCGGAAAGCTCACGTCCTTGAACTCAGGCAGCTCCGTCAGGGCACGTGACACCTTGGACTTGTAGTCCATGGTGCTCCGACCTCTCTTCCTCTCTCCACCTTTCCCCCTCCCCCTCTCTGCTATCTCATTATCGGTTTCAGCTCTTTCACAACCTTTCCTCCTCTTCCTCTTCCTCTTCCTCTTCCTCCTTCCTCCTCCTCCACCTCCTCCTCTACTCCTCCTCCTCTTCCTCCTTCCTCCTCCTCCTCCTCCTCCTCTACTCCTCCTCCTCCTCCTCTACTCCTCCTCCTCCTCCTCTACTCCTCCTCCTCCTCCTCTCCTCCTCCTCTCCTCCTCCTCTCCTCCTCCTCTCCTCCTCCTCCTCCTCCTCCTCCTCCTCCTCCTCTCCTCCTCTCCTCCTCCTCTACTCCTCCTCTACTTCCTCCTCCCTTCAGCACGCTTCATCAAGTCCAGTGGCGAACATGGCAGGCCGTTGAAATTTCCAGCACCTCATCCCCGCTCATTCACTCCCACACTGTGACACCCCAGTACGGTCTGCCTCAGAGTCTGCCCAGTGCCTGCCAGTCCGAGGCTGCAGCCAGTCTGCACCCGGGGGCCCCAGCCCACACCTGAGCCCACACCCAGTCCTGCCACTGGTCCTGCCAGTCCTGCACCCAGTCACTGGCTCAGCTGAGTCACCTGCCCTGTCACTCTCCTCAGAGGCCGCTGGTCTCCGGGACTGGCCTGCCAGCCTCCGGCTCGCCGGGAGGGGGCAGTCCGGTCCTGTTCCAAGTTCACCGTTTTTGCGGCTGCTGTTATTGCCAGCCGCCTGTTTCAGTGCGGCCGCGAGTCATTGTCTGTGATCGCCGCGTTCAGGCTCAGCTGGCGCCGGGCGATTGATCGGACGACCGTGAACGGTGACACATTGCCACATACTTTGCATCGAAGAATATCTTATTTCTAGCTTTTCAAAATCCCCTCTTTCCAAATATCTTCTACATATCGTCTTCCCTATCGTACTTTGATCTCTGCTTGGTGAAGTTTCCCGCAAGCACGTAAGAGCGAAAGCACAAAGACTTGGTCTTAGTGCAAACCTGAAGCAATGGTCAGCTATCAATCGCCAGACTGAAATATTCTCACCTGCTGATACACGCTCGGCTTCGTGCTACCCATGATGACATGATGCTTTTCCGAGTCAATCTTCGCATCTAGTCTTGCATTACGAATTAAGTTCACGATCCACAGCTCTGCCTCTTCTTGTCCCATGTTCAACTTATCAGCAAGCATAGAGATGTCTATGCACTGATGAATCCTGCAGTAAGTCTCGAAAATGAACAATCTTGCATTCTGAATGAATTCCTCGCTCAATCCTTGCAGGAAGTAGTCACTCGCAAGCAGTTTCTCGCACTGCCTGAGCTTCTCCTGTGCGCTATCGAAGTCGTAGTTAACCAGCAGGCACTCCACGAACTCTGTGATGGGGTCCCTGTACGTGTGGTGCTCCTGCTGAATGATTCTCACAAGGTCCTTGAGGGCGTTTCTTCGGCGGGGGTTGGTGATCACCGCTGCTGCCAGGTACCTCAAGATGTGCGAGCAGTTTGTCTGGATGGTCTGAAGATAGGGAGGAGAGAAGAAGAGATCGATGACCTCGCTCCTTGAGTTAGAAAGTTTGCTGGCTTCAGGCTTGAAGTACACGAAAAGACTCCAATGCACCAGCCAAGTACGCTGCTCGAGCTGCTGCAGAGGGTTGGACCAGTGCTGCGCGGGTGGATCAGCGAATCGAATTCAACCGAGTCAAGCATCCTCTCACCTTGGTGTCGATCGCTTCCCTCAGCGTTCGGAGATCATCTGCCGCCTCCTCCCACTTGCCAAGGAGGATTTCGGACGCCAGTTTTCCCCATAGAGCAGAGAAAGCATTCTCTGAGTTAGGATCGGCAGTGAGCATTCTGTAGATGGGGAGGAATTCAGCAGCTCCCATCTTGTCAGATCCCTCCACCATTCCATAATTTCCGCATTCAAAGTACAATTTCGCATATTTGTAAAGGGCCTCCACGTGCTCGGGAATGATATTGTGTTTCTCCTTGAGTGACACCAACGCTTCCCTGTATGCCTGCGCGCTCTTCTCGCGGCTCTCCCCCTCCACCTTGATCTTGCTGAGGGAAGGATCTTCGATGACAGTCAGGAGCTGCTTGCAGTCAGCCTTGAGGGCCTTCAGTTGCAGCACGACATCCTGCCTTTGGTTCTTCAAAGCTGCATCAGAGACTCAGTATGATCATGATAGGTTCAGATCAATCAAATTGAACTTTGTACCTTCCGGAACGTCTTCAGTCTTGTGGATCGCCTTATACTTCTCGATAGCAGAGTCGATGAGCTTGGTTTTCTGCAACAAGTCGAACTGGGCTTTCAAGATATCCTCCTCCGCATAGATCTGAAAACCGAGTCAGAGCCGAGCAAAATCTTGCATCAATCCGGCATAAGAGTCGTAATCACGCATTCAACATGGAGTTCAGCGATCAAATATAAAAATTTGTAAGATATGAATTCGTTCCATACTCGAGCAAAACGTACATCACGCACAAATTCCCATCTCCTGAGAAACATAGCAATTTTCCGGAAATAGAACTGCTTTCATCCTAAGAACGAAACATGAATCTGAGACGAGCTACCATACAGAACGGAGAAGTTCACATGAATAATTCAGTACAAAAGATCATGTAAAGCATCAATCGAAACAGATACACCATATCAGCGATCAAACATCCATGGCACACAAACCAATGCATGTAAGACCATTCAGAAGAGAACCTCAAGACTCCAACAAGGATTGGAACAGGAGGGGGAGGGGAGGGGAGAGGCTTACTCCTTGCTGCTGGACGTGCTCGAGCAGGGGAAAGATCAAGTGTTTGTCCAGATAGCGCGCCATGCGCGGTACCAGATCCAGCCCTGCCATCCTCGCCGATGCCACGAGGGCTGCCCTGCCGTCGAAAAAAAAGATAACCGTTATCACAACCGTTATTCTCTTCTCCATGCATGTGTAACGGTCAACTGATCGTTACATTATTACCCTCATCCCCTTGCAAGCCCCTGCGAGGCCGCTTCATGGTCTGCTAGCCTGCCGTCGACGCGACCTCCTCCTCGTCCTCCTCTTCCAGGCGCCCCCTTCCCTCCCCTTCCTCGTAGCCTGAAGACATTTCAGCTGGAAGCCTGTGTGCCTGCTCGCCTCTCTTGGCTGGCAATCTTCTCAGCTCTGCCTGATCCAGGCTGTTTGCGCCCTGATTCCCGACGTCGTTCCAGATATTGTGGATGCAGCGCACAATCCTGCCCATCCTCTTCACTCTCGTGGCGCCTTCGCTCGCATTCACTCCGACGATCGGTCTCCGCAGGCCGTCCCCTGTTTCTTCTGTGAGCCTCAAGCACTACAGGAGCTCGCCGCGCCTGAGGTCTGGCCGGGTCTCGTTTAGGATGCAGCAAGAGATCCAGGACGGCGAAGGTCCTCGAGAAATTCTTGAGTGGGCGAAGAAGAGGGAGCAGGAGAGGGCCAAGACCCCCGATGCCTCTACTGTCCCCTACGGTGAGTGGGAGTCGCCCATCACTTCCAAGGACATCACAGACGGGACTGTTGGGTTGGGGTCGCCGACATTCGATGGCGAAGAGTTGTACTGGCTGGAGTCTCGTCCCAATGAAGGAGGTCGGCAAGTTATCGTGAAGATGGAGGGAGGGCAGCCTGTCGACCTGACTCCTCCCTCCTTCAACGTGCGCAGCCGCGTTCACGAGTATGGCGGTGGGGACTTCATAGTTAACAAAGGCGTCATCTACTTTGTGAACTTCGTGGATCAAAGGATCTATGCTCAGCTGGCGTTTCCAGGGGTCGATCCTGTTCCCATCACCCCAGAGGGAAAGTTTCGCTTCTCCGACATGGTCGTGGACGAGCGCAGGAGCCGCCTGATCTGTGTGGTAGAGGATCACAGTAGAGAAGGAGAGCCGACAAACTTCATCGGGTCGGTCAAGACGGACGTTGAGGAGGGAGCTGCTCTTACTCCTCCTGAGGTGCTCGTGGATGGGCAGGACTTTTACGCTTCTCCTCGTCTGTCGCAGGATGGGGAGCAGCTGGCGTGGGTGAGTTGGATACACCCGAACATGCCGTGGGACGCGACGGTTCTTACTCGGGGAGCCCTGGATGCGAGCGGAAAGGTTGCCAGCAGGAAGGTGCTGGCGGCAGGGCAGGAGTCGATCATGAACCCTGTACGTGCTTGATGTCCGTGCCGGCTCCGCCTTGTGACGTGCCTCAACAGACTTGGGATGCCTTCGGTCAGCTCTACTTCATCTCCGATCGCTCTGGCTGGTACAACATCTACAGAGAAGGTTTCGTCGGAGTGTCCGCAAAGAATGCTCTCGTTTCTGATGAACATGCAGACGAAGGAGAAGTTGTTGCGGTGAAGGAGATGGAGGCAGAGTTCGCAGGTCCCATGTGGAAGTTGGGTAAGACCTGACAATCTCATGTTGGTTTCTGACACCTGCCGGTAGGATCGAAGCCGTTCGTTTTCCTCCCCGACGGAAGAATCCTCTGCAACATCAAGCAGGTGGGTCGAGGACAGCTGGAGAAGGGAAGGGCAGTGACCGCAAGTTAGCCCAAGGTGGCTGGGAGCCGTCTGTCGATTCTTGACCCTTCCAACGGGAAGGTGGAGGTACAAGGAACTCTCGTGGAGAGGGAGGAGGTGAAGTTGTCGCAGAACATAGCTTCTTCCTACACCCATGTCGGAGGGTTCGCTGTGAGCTTTTCTCATCCTGTGCAAGCTCGTTGGTAAGGAGCAGCCTTGCAGGTATCAGAAGACAAGATCTCTTTCCTCGGAGGCTCCGCCCGGCAGCCTACAGAGCTTGTCATCGCTCCGGTGAGGAGGAGGAGTTTACAGCTGCTGCTCCAGCTTGTCTTGACATCCTGCAATGTCAGATCGCCAAGTTTCCAGCGAAGAAGTCGGACCTGACTGTTGTGAAGAAATCATCGAAACTAGAGGTTCCCTCCGCCCTCCCTCCCTCCCTCTCTCCCTCCCTCCTCCCTCCCTCCCTCCCTCCCTTCCTCCCTCTCTTCCTCCCTCCATCCATCCATCCCACCTCGCCCTCTCTCTCGCCCGTGGTTGTTGAAACATCCTGAATTTTCTGCCTCCTTTGTCTTCTTGTCCGTTCATTTTTCTCTCAATTTGATTTCTTGCTCTCGTTTAGATCAAAAGTTTGTACCTCTCCGAACCAACATCGATCGAGTTCCCTACAGGTGACTATTTTTTCCCTCTCCTCTTGCTCCTGCTCCTGCTATGTCCCCACTGCATTGAATCGGTTGAGCTTCTGCAGGACGTCCGGGCCAGACTGCATGGATGATTTACTATCCACCCCAGGTACTTCTCCTTCATCCCTCTGCCTCCTCTACACACCCTCCTCCTCTCCTGTCCTGTCCTTCCCTCCCCTCTCCTCCCCTGGGGGACTCCACTCGAGGCCGGGGGGGGGGGGCTTGTTGGGTTAGGGCTGGCGGTGCCAACAGCTAGGAGGACTGTTGGTAATGG